TTTGCCACACAGGGACTGCAAGGACAAAAGAAATTCTTCCTTGCCTTTTGCACACTGAGGAATGCAGCCATGCTTAACATCGTTTCGGTCCAAAGAACCCCTCGGCATGATTTGCTTTATTTTCCCAAAACTGCCCTTTGCGTGGCATTTTTGCTCTCTCATAGGTTGAAAAGCATTAGTCTAAAATACTTAAATAAATAAAATACACCATATGCGCATGCCGTATTTCCTCGCATTTAATAGCACCACACGTGAGGTGGCAGCATTCTGGCAGCATCGCTGGTGAATCCCAGTCAACCAGAGCTCCCAGGCTTGTCTTACGTGGGAGCTTATCTGGAGATATTTCGTCCAAAAAAATCTCTGGCGACTTGGAAACAAGTATGCGCTGATTGGAGTGTGCTGCAGGGGCGCATGGAACCGCACCTATAATTTTTGTGGAGACCGCGCGTAGAATTTTGAGCATTTTGGGCATTTCCGAATAGTATTCTTATGTGTCCCTACATCTCTTTCGACTAACTCAGTGGGCATGTTATATGGGGCAGTGTTCAGTAACAGGAGTTTGAGCTAAATGCCGTTCTAGGGCTGGCGCCAGTCAGCACGCCGGCGGCGTCAGAGTTTGCAGGGAATACCGGCCGAGGCAGTGGAAGCCGGAGCGTGGGAGGCCAGCGCCGCCGCATTATGAGGGTGGGCGGGACTTCGCGGGATGGCGCCGGGGTTTCGAATGTTACATGCTCACGGCGAGCATCACTTCGGGCCCCCAGAAGGCCGCAACGGTTCTCACGCTGCTAGGACTGAACATCCAAGAGCTCGCCAGGACACCGCCAGACGCGCCCGAAGTAGCTCCGCATGTATATAGCAAATTGGCGCCTAAGGTTCCGCGCTTCGACTGTGCGGTGGCTCACTGCACGGACAGGGAGCTCTCGAAGAAGTTCTTTGGAATATCGTCACTAACCTTGAGCAAACCCCTGGAAATAGCGAAACAGGAGGAACGAGTTCGTGCCCAGGTGAACGGTCTAAATTTCACCGCCTCCTAAGTCAGTTCGCCCGAGGCGGGTGTTAACCTGCCGGCGCATCGTCGGGCCACATCAGCCTGTCGAACCTGCGGTCAAGACTCCCCGATTCAGGCTCTCCGGGCCGCGATAGCGCCGGCGTGTTCCAGGTGCCGCAGCAGGCGCCACACCAGCGGGGGCTGTCCGTTCAAGCCAGCTCAATGTTATGCTTGTTCCCGAATAGGGCATGCCGGGAGCGCCTGCCGAAACAGACACCAGCCCAGAATTGACCGCACAAATCAACTCGTCTAAGAACATGTTGCAGCTCTTCAGGATTGTGTTTACCAGGTAGTGGAGGACCATGCCTACGGGACCGACACGTGATGGTCAGATCGACTCCAGCAGTCGTGGATGTTTAGCTCAATGGAGCACCGGTCACTACGCGAGTAGATACGGGCGCAAGTCACTCCATCAGGGCGATGTTCACCAGCATGTGGACCAACCCACCAAGCTTGGAGTCACTGAGCCTAGTCCCTGCTAACTTACACGCGAGAGGAAGCCTCGGTGGTGGGTATGGCCAGAATGGAAGCTGTCTACCAAAGCCAGAAGGCGACCCTGCCTCTCGTCGTTGTGGATACAGAGAGCCTCCTCTGCTGGGTCCGGAGTGGGTATGTGCGATCAAGCTGGATTGGAAGTCCCTCTTCAGCCCAGATTCCCCGCACAGTGTCTCGGTGCCCGTCCCCTCGGATGCCGGGATCTGGAAGCTGCCTAGCAGAAAGATCGGGCTGAGTACAGCGACTTGCTCAAAATGGACATGGGTCGCCACAATGTTCGAGAAGTCTCCATCGAGCTTGATCCGGCAGTGGAGCCGATCTTTCTGAAGCATCGACCGCCACCCTTCGCGCGGCGGGAGGCGATCGAAAGAGAGCTGGACAGACAGGTCGCAGAGGAAACTTAGAACCAGTGAACACGTCTCGCAGGACTGCACCAGTGGTGCCGGTGAAAAAGGCAAATAGCACTCTTCGTCTCTGCGGCAACTATGATCAAACGGTGATTGAGGCCAGTCAGCTGGAGAAGTACCCGCTGCCCAGGGTGGACGAGCTATTCGCAGCTATGGCTGGCAGCAAGATGTCCATAAAAGTCGACCTCTTTGAAGCTTACTTCCAGCTGGCACTGGATGTCGAGAGTAAGGGGGCACTCACAATCAACATCCTAAAGGGGTTGTTTCGCCAAATCGACTGGGATTCGGTGTTAAAAGTGCCGTCTCGATATTCCAGCGTGAGATGGAGACGCTGCTGTCGGGCATACCCAACGTCGCGGCATTCCTCGATGACATCGCCGCGACTGGTCCAAAGCCCATCCGCTCATCGAAACAAATGTTCGAGAGGTGCTGCGCCGTCTGAACCCAGCGGGCCAAGAGTCAATGAAGAGAAGTCTGCCGCCTGACCAAAGAGGTAAGGTACCTCCGCTTCTGCATCTCTGCTGCCGAGGTCCGCTTGACGTCGGAGAAGACAAAGGCCGTGCAGGATGCTCCGGAGCCAAAGGACCTGTCTGAGCTGAAGGCACTTCTCGGGCTGCTCCAGTATTACCTTAATTCTTGTCCGGCCTGGCCACAGTAGCAGCACCGCTGTACTCACTAGAGCGGAAGGGAGCGACCTGGATCTCGGAAGCCTCTCATCGTGTCGAGTTCGTGGAGACCAAATAGCTGCTTGTCGCTGCTCCCGTACTTACCCACCACGATCCTGGAAAGCCGTTAGTTCTAACAAATGACGCCAGCTCCTATGGCCTAGGAGAAGTCCTCAGCCATTCTTTCCGCTGAGAAAGGAGACCATCCAATCGCCTACACCAGCTGAAGTCTAAGTGTTACTGAACGTAACCACAGCCAGCTGAACAAAGAGGTCCTTGGGGTGATGTTTGGGGTTGGGAAATTTCACCAATACCTGTATGAAAGACCGTTCCTGATCAGGACAGACCACACGCCCCTGCTTGGTCTGCTGTCTGCTGACAAAGCCCTGCTCCTCGCAGTGTCTCCCAGGATCCCACGGTGGCGACTGTTGCTGTCTGGTTATCAGTACCAGTTCCAGTACGTCGCTGGTCAGTGCATTGGCAACTCGAAAATCCTCGGCCGCCTGGCTCTGCCAGTCGTTCCTGCAAATGCCCCGGTTCCTAGTGACGTCGAAAACACGCTGGAAGACGTGTCTCACGCAGTGGATGTAGACCACATCTGTGCCAGCGCCAGCCGAGATCCGGTCCTCCCCTAGGTGTTCAGGTATCTGTAAAGAGGCTGACCGCAGACGCCTCCGATAGAACAAGGAGTGGTGCCCTATTACCGCCGAAGGCGGGAGCTGAGCCTGCCGATGACTGTGTTCTGTGGCGCTGTTGAATGGTGATCTCGCCGCCGCTCGCGCTCAGCTTTTCCTTATCATGCACGATGGCTATCCTGGTATGAACCAGATGAAACACCTTGCGCGGAGCCACGTCTGGTGGCCTCAACTGGACGCGATGGCTGAGGACTGCGTTCGAATATGTTGCCAGTGCTAGATTCATCGTGGGATGCAGCCAGAAGTACCCGCGCAGCCATGGACTTAATCCCAGCGACCGTGGCAGAGGGTCAATGTGCATTTCGCTGGCCAGTGGAAGGGAGGCAGCTACTCGTAGTTGACGCATATTCCAAGTGGTGTGATGTTCACATCTCCGCTTCAGTGTCATCGGCTGCAGTAATCGAGAAGCTGCAGATCAGCTTCAGCTCTCACGGCCTGTCGGTCATCTTGGTGTCTGATAACGGCACAGCCTTCACCTCGGCTGAGTTCCAGGCCTTCACCAAGGGGAATCGTGTCTTACACAAATTCAGATATCCCTTCATCCCGCCTCGAATGACCAGGCCGAGGCGGTGGTAAAAATGATGGAGTTCGGAATCGCCCGGCGATCGGGAGACGGCTTACAAATCCGTTTGTCACGATTCATGTTGAAGTGCCGCAACACGCCTCACTTGGCTATAGGCGGTACCCCGGATGAACTCCCACTTGGTCGCCCGATGCGGCGCACAATGGGCCTGGTGCACCCAGATCTCGCCGCGAAGGTAGAGCGCCGCCAGCAGACGTGGAAGGACCGCTCAGACCAGGATGCCTTTGGCCGACAGTTTCGGGTGGGCGGGGAGCTTTATGTAACAGCCACTCCCCACTCGAAGCAAAGATGGGTGCCGACTGCGGTGAGCGCGGTCGCGGGCCAAAGCTGTGATGTCCAGTTGAAGGACGGCTGGGTGTTCAGGCGCCACCGCTCTCACCTGAGGACTCCCTACGCCGTCTCCGTTTCAGTCGGGCCTTAAGATTTGAGAAGCTTCGAACAATTGACCCGGCCCAACGCTTCCGTAGAGCCCCGAAACGGTTGGACCATTAACTGCGCTGAGCCCCAGCGCTCGCGTAGGGCCCGATGCGTTTTCACTTATGATTTCACTGAGATTCGTTTGCTGTGTTTGTTCGGCGTTAAATGTTAGTGGACATTTAGACACAAGTTAGACTGTGTAGTGGACGTGTGGCTCGGAGAGGAAGCATGTTCAGTGGCAGAATCTTGAGACCCTAGATCTTGAGCACCGGTTTTTGGGACAGGCCGGTCTGGCGGCTTGCCTGGTCCGGCGGCTCGGCGACGGTGTGCCGATCGCTGAGCTGGGGCGTGGCACAGCTCTTACTTCCCACAAATTTGTGGCACGTCAGCTCAACGTGGTGGATACAAATAGGCATCTAGAGCTGGACATGGCGGAAGTTACAGAACACATTTACAACCCGACAACCGTTTCACCCACCACCACCTTGAATTTACCACCAAAACCAAGATCCCGGTACCAAAGTCGTCCCGCTCGCCGAGCCGCCTCAGAACAAGTGGGGAACTATCTAAAACAGCAAGATGCGACGAAATACCCATAGAATTCCCTAGGAAAAAAGTCTCTAGCGACTTGGAAACAAATATATCTTCTGGAGCACGCCCATCTCCCCGCTTCATGGATTGGTGAGCGGGGGTTGGTTGGCAGTTGGGGTACTCCCGGTTTCTGGGGTACATTACGTATTGTGATACTCGGAAAACTCAGTGGAGATAGCACTGCGTCAGGCGGGGGGCGCACTGCTGTGGGAAACGTGTGACGACCAGGCGGCTTTGGATCTGGCTCTTGCAGCGGATGGTGTACTTCGAGTGGACACTTGGGTGGGTAAGCGGAAGTCTAGGCTGAAGCTTGGATCGCATACCATGCGATCATATCTTTGTGCAGTTTAAATGGAATCATTCAAAGCGAGGCCTGCAGACTACAAAATCAAGCTGTGAAAGCCGGTGATTTTTTATGATCCTCACGCTATTTGCCCACCATACCACAAGGTTTTTACTGGGACATTCATAAAAATGATAAAGAGTGATATTTGGTAAAGAGCTCTGGCTGGGATGATGTGATACTGTGATGATCTTCGGTTGGTAGATATGCTTCATTTTATAAGACCAATTTATGGTATGATGGGCTAGCAATGTGTTTGTGATTGAGGCGATGTTCTCACTGTGTTCTTGCAACTACATGGGACCATTTTATAATGTAATGGACTAGCATTGTTGTCATGGTTGAGGAAATGTCACTGTGTTAATGCAATCGCACAGGGCCATTTTATGGTATGATGGACTAGCATTGTTTCTATGGTTCAGGAAATTATTCACTGTGTTTTTGCAGCTCTATAACAGTTAAATGAACATTGTTGAACAGTAATTTCCCAATAATGAGGTTTAAAACTGGTTATGTCCAGCTGCTATGGGGAGTGACCACCTTGGCTATCTTAGGAATCAAGAAAGAGAATGACTTGATTGTGCCATGTTTCACACTTCATGACATCAATGGGAAATAGAACAAGCAGGTTGTGTGAGTGTCCTTACCAGACATGTCCCTGCAGTTCCCAAAAGATCACTGGTCTTAACTGTACTTCCAATCCATCCTCACTTCAATCTCTGTTAAGCTAATATAAATTATATCCATGCATAACAGGTACCCACAGGGATGTAGGTTAGTCTTCAGGTGCTCATTGCACCATATTTTTTGGACATCATATTTATCTGCATGATCAACCCACAAAGTGATCAATACCTAATCAGGGTCTTGATGCATTCATACCTGATTTAATTTCCCAGTGACATCTCCAATAATGATCCTATCTTATGAGCCTGCCTACATGATTGGATCATTAGAACCCACAATTAATGCACTGTGTTAAAATTTGCTGCAGGGCCCTAGAGACCATGCAGTGGATTCTACTAAATGATTTGTGTGTGTCTAGCACCATGCAGTGGATTCTACTAAATGATTTGTGCATGTCTAGCATCATGCAGGAGATCACTGCATGGCATTATCTGGCCATGTGTCTTCCCTCCATTTTAAATGGTGTTTGCACAAAGCCTGACCTTTAACATGTCTTTCTTCACCTCTGCTCATGTCATTGTATTGAGTAGTTTTTAAGGTTAGGTTATTTAATCTTCTTGTTTTCTTATTGCTGAGGGTGTCTGTTTGTGGGAGGGTAATGTATATGGAGTAAGTTCTGGTGAAGTGTGCTAGAAATGTGCACCGTTTGCTGTGAACTATTTATGATTATTATATTAATATACATTAGTATAGATTTAGTGAATCTTTTAAATCAGTGAATTCTGTTATCAATCTTTGCTAAGCAGTGTTTGTTGTCTGAGCCATAAACCCTGCCATTGGATAGTACAATTTCAGATCCACAGCAGAGTTTGGTGACAAAAGCGTGAAGGGCCACAATGTTCTGCATTTTCTGTCTTGTGCTCTTATATGTAATGATGTATATATATATATATATATATATATATATCATATTGCATAGTGATATTATTACATAAAATGTCATCATCTGGTCTTTAGAAGCTCCAGTGGAAATTTTTATACTGACTGCAATTTTTACATGTAAAAATGTTACCTTTGACATCTCATGTCCAGTAAACTTGACACATGTGGAGCCTACAGCCACGGAATATGGAGCTGATAGCTCAATGATGCCATGATGAAATACTTAGCAATCAAGTGGGTCTAAGGCAGTGTAAAAATGGCCTTTACTTTTGATCTGTGTGTGGCTCAGCAAATTTTAGCTCATTGCTCTACCTGCTACATGACTGTAAGCTCAAAATGGGTGGAATCTGGCAGACAAAGATATCTTGTGTTTTGCATTTACTATAGAAGAACATGTCCTTTATGCATCTGGTAACAGGACTGAAAGTGACCAATGTGACCAGCTGGGATTGGCAGTCTTGATCAGCAGTTAAAGGCCTTGGAATAGAGACAGCATGCTGAAATGGAACCCTGTGTTTGACATTTACTGTCATATCTGAAACAGCATCTCTTCTCTGTTGTTTTGTACTGATTGCTTAATTCCTCCATCATCTTCAATATGACATGTTGATTTCCAACAATATGAAAGGTCTATACTTTTCTTTGTTTTAGCTTATTTTTATGCATTCTGTGCATGTAGTCAACTTTGGCTCACAGAATGAGGGAGAAAAGCAAAATTTCTCTGGTCACACTGTAGGTGCATCTGCCATACAGCAGCATGAGAGGTGCTGTGCTCAATGCATTGGAGGCTGTCTGTACCTATGATATTAATTCTGACAACTTGACAATTTCTACCTTTAACACATGGCTGGATGGCTGGTTGGGTACCCTTTGCTCATGTGGGGGTCAGTTTGACCCCCTGAGACCTCAGGAATTTTGAGAGCTAGAAACACCAAATTCTCAGGGTGCATTACCATATACATGAACTCACTTGGTCAAAGTTTGAGTTTCATGGGTCATGCCCTTCAGGTTAAGTAAGGTCAAACAATGCCAAGTGCCAAGTTGGTTTACTAAGTGCCACCAGAACTTGGATACCTGATCTAAGCCAAAGGTTGCCCACTTGTGTAAGGTCAATGTCCTTGTTTGACCTTTCAAAGGTTTTAGTGGTCAAAATCATACAAGACTTTTGTGAGTTTTGCACTTGAATAAGTGACAAAGATCATGCTTGGCATTTTGTTCATAAAACCAAAATGTTGACCTGAACCATTTTAGGTCATTGACCTGTTGTGACCTCTAAGAAGTCCATGGAAGATGAATAGTGCAGTTCCTGTCATAATAAATTTGAAATGAGCAGCCATAAACCACCCAATACATCAAGCTCTACAGTAATAAAGCAGGTTGGCTTGATCTTGGTCTGACCTGACCTTAGGTCGATGCAGTTTGCTTATTCAATTGTTGTGTTGGCTAAGAAAGTATATTAAGAGATGTATGGCTTCCTCTAACTCTTTGTTGTTACATGAGATCAAACAATTCCCTAGAAACTGACTTAGCTGAATTCACAGCCTGAATTTGACCTGCCTTAGGTCAGGGACCTCATTTAATTTTTCATGCCAAACAATCTGTTGTTCAATTATCTACAGCTAGGCAAAATTTGGCGCGGCTGCGCCGCGCCGTTCGTAACCCATTCTGGAAAAACCGGGGGAGGGTCTTATTGACTCCCCACCCGAGCATGTGTTAATGGTTTGCAGATGCCCAATTTATTTTCTTGTTTTGTCAGAAGGATTCATATTAATTGAACCATTTCATTTGGTAAACCCTTTCCTAATATCTTGCATGGTTTTCCCGATGGCAGTGGGCCAGCCCTGTCTTCTTCTAGTTCTGCTTCCGCCGCTTCCGCCTTAGTGTGTGCTCTAGATAGGCGAGCGTGAGCAAACTGATGCCTTACCCTTAATATGAATATATCTGTCAGCATGAAGTTATCAATGTGGTGACAATGTCACATGGACGGCATGTACTATGCCTTTGCTACTTTGTCAGCTCTTTTCCTGTCAAGCAGAATGGTTTCATTTTTGTTCATGTTTTGATGGGTTAGCTAGATAAAGTAGACATGAAAATATAGTTCTTGGGAGCAATTGCATCTTTTTTGCAGTTCCCTTAGCATTCCAAAACAAATGAATGATGTTTGTGTGGTTTAGCCTGTATAATTGATATGATGTATTTGATAACAAGCCCACTCTCAACCAGGGATGTAGCTTCAGAGGATGGGTTAGGGGGCTAAACTGTGACAAGTAAAACCTACATGCAAAATTTGCCAATTAACATGCTTCTACATGGATTTGGCACACTTTTCTCTTGAGGTCGATGGAGGGCCAGAACCCAAGTTGGGGGGGGGGGGGGGGGCAAAGTCCCCAGTTGAAAAAGAAACTACATCCCTGCTCTCAATATTTCTGTCCCTAAAAGGATTGATTCACATTTTTATGGGGTTTTAAGCTGAAATCCATTTTGAAGAGAATTTTGTGCAGTTCGCAGCCTTACGCTTCTTGGGACCTAAAATGATCTAGTTTATGAGCTGCATGCCTGTTACAATGTGCAGACTGTTCTGTGTAGACTATTTTGGGGTCATCCAGGCATCCATGGCTATGATAACATTATTGAAAGTCATGCCATGCCATTGCCCCTTATCAAGACCAGGCAAAATATATTTGTGGAATGGGTTCGAATCCAGCGTTCGTGAGCAGGATTTTCAGACGTAACAGCTGTCAGTTGGTTCCTGATCAAGGTTTTGCAAGGTACCATGATACATTGACACATGGAGGACATATTGACTACATAAATAATTTGTGTTGCCTTGAGCAGGATTCTCCACTAGTGTACCATTAGTTACAAGTAAGACTATTTCATCATATCTTATGCTTGCTTCAACATTTTCAAATGCGAAATTTCCCCATTAAAAGTATACCAATAGTTAGAAGTGAGTTTATTTCATCATATCTGATGCTTGCTTCAATATCTTCAAATTTCGAACATCCCTTTAACAGGGTTATGCTTGAATTGGGTTGAAGGGTTTGGTACTGGGGGTCCCGACTGCACAGAACAATTCCATTGCATCAATGTGAGCACTCATCATAAGGTGTTATGTTTCCTTTCATTGTCAAAGGGCCACGACCAACGACCACTAATAAGGCCCCTGTATCATTCAGACTCCCGTTCCCGTCCTTGTTGAAGGAGTCTTCCCCGGACCGATTCGAGGCCTCCTGTTGACACGCAATACCCTGTTAGCCACTGGACTCCAGAACGATGCAGGAGCCCCATGTTCCCATGTTTGGAACCCTGTGTTGGAACCCAACCCCGTGTTAGGCCCCACGGGCGGGGTCCTTAATGTGACCAACAGCAGCCCTTCGGATCCTTCAGCCTTCCAGTTGGGCCGTTGACGTTTGGTATTGAGAGACCATTCGGCCCCTCTTCAGGCTCCTGTGAAACACCGCTCCGACTCTGGAACACTTGCCGCCACATAACCCTGTTAGGCACGGTGGCCGCTGACCGACATAGGGGCCCCACATTATGTCCGGCGCCCTAAACATTGCAAATTGCGGACCCCGGCCTCGTTCTTGCTCGGGTAATGGGTCTCAAGCGGGCATGGAGCCGACTGTTCGGTGTTCGTGATCTCTGCTTGACACCCGCGCTATCTCAGGGGTTCCTCAAACGGTGCAAGAGGTTCTCTGACTAAAATTTTAGGTCACGACCCTACGGCTCGCGATTCTTTACGTGACATACAGCCAGTCCTTCAGGCCCTTATGCCCCCCCCCCCCCCCCAACCGGACCTTTGATCGTCGGCTCCAGTGGGCTGCCCTGGCCCCTCTTCGGGCCCCATCAAACACTTCCCTTGCCCGGCTCGGGACCTTCGCGAGCGCTGGACCCTTTGTAAGGCGCTGTGGGCCTCTGACATATACAAGACCCCCGACCAGTATAAATCCCTAGCCCCGGTTTTACAGCCCAATGGGAAGGGCTCTCAGGCCCATACGGACACGGAGCTGACTACGCGGTACTGGTGGTGCCGATAGACATGGGTCGATATCGACTGGGGGCCCCCGATCGGCGTTAAGTGGCCTCTGGCCGTTGTTTGAGTGTCCGTCCCCTTAAGCCGGGCCAATAGGTCAGACTCCGACCAGCCCTTCGCGCCCTTAGACCCTCCCATCGGGCACGCGGTCGTCGGACTCGGTGGGCTCTCTAGGCTCTGGGCTCCCTTTGGGCCGATTAGGGGTCCCGTGCCAACGCAGGGCCCCCGTTAGTGACTGAGGCCCTGACAGACGCTGGGGTCCCGACCAATGAAAATTGCTAGAATTAGAGCGTGAGCGTCAATTTTGTAGATGTGCCAAGCGCGTGTTTTGTAAGGATATGATTAAACGGATCTTTTTATATGTGCTCGGCTCTTGGCGGCATGTTTAAAGTGTAATCAGTATCCTGAAAAGGATCATTGAACTGATCAAAACATTGAACATATAGATGAACTTTGGTAACCTGTATCGACGCACCGAAAACAACAGATGCACCACAAGAAGCCTTGAACAAACGACAAAGAAGGCCATAAACGCTGACTGCTGTGATAATATATATATATATATATATATATATATATATATATATATATATATATATATAATACATAGAGAGAGAGAGAGAGAAGAGAGAGACGAGAGAGAGAGAGAGGAGAGGAGAGAGAGAGAGAGAGAGGAGAGAGAGAGAGAGGAATGAGAAGGAGAGAGAGATGAGAGAGAGAGAGAGAACCGAGACCGAGGACCGAGACCGAGACCGAGACCGAAGACCGAGACCGAGACCGAGACGAGACGAACCGAGACCGAGACCGAGAGAGACCCGAGACCGAGACGAGACCGAGGACCGAGGGAATACCAACCGAGACCGAGACCGAGACCGAGACCGAGACCGAGACCGAGACCGAGACCGAGACCGAGACCGAGACCGAACGAGACCGAGACCGAGACCGAGACCGAGACCGAGACGGAGACCGAGACCGAGACCGAGACCGAGACCGAGAGCGAGACCGAGATCGAGACCGAGAGCGAGATCGAGACCGAGAGCGAGACCGAGAGCCGGAGACCGAGACCGAGACCGAGGACCGTAGACCGAGACCGAGACCGAGACCGAGACCGAGACCGAGACGGAGACCGAGACCGAAGACCGAGACCGAGACCGAGGACCGAGACCGAGACCGAGACCGAGACCGAGACCGAGACCGAGACCGAGACCGAGACCGAGACCAGACGGTGCATGCACCCTGTTGTTTATCGGGCATGATCGCACAGCAGGTTTTGCGATTTTATCTAATTTTTGTACGCATAAAGCAAAACTGGTTCGTCACACTTCGAATATTTTTTCTTCCAGGGTTACAACCTAGCTGTCGTGAGCAGGCCGTCTGCTTCAAAGGGCCTGACAAAGCACTGTGGCCATGGCATCATCTCGCCTTCGCCACTGTCTCCACTGCGGCCTCATGCTCGCCTTCGTCTTGGGCTTTGAGGCCTACAGTGGCGCGTTCCGGTTGTCCGAATTTGCCTACGATGAGATCAACCCATGGGTCGAGTACGGCTACCTGCTAACCGTGTTGCTGTACATGGTGCGACTGTTGACTTTCCTGGCGCTACCTCAGGTGAGTGGCGGCCTGGCCGATGCCGACTGCTGCCTCTCCCCGCTCCCGAAGCCCAGCCTTACGCTTTCTGGCAAGGGACTGGCTGGCGCCAAGTAGATGCTGCCTAGCCTATTTCGTATGGCTGTTCTATAGCTATAGGGTATTACGTCGTTAATAGTGACATGATATGACTGTTAGAAGCATTGTGCCTTAGTAGTACTATTATTTTGTAGCTGTAGATCGGCAACCAGGTCCAAACTCCAGTTACCCCACGGCCCCTGAGCGCTAATATTGGCAGTGTGGTCGCTTGCTTTGTATGGAGGGGCATGCGGTGGCCAGCGTCGCGTTCAGTAAAAGAAAGGAAGGTATTCATGCTCGCTACAAGGTAAGTTTTACATAATTCTCAGATTTCCCACTAATGTCGCCACGTCTTACCCAGCCGCAGTTAGCCCAGCTGACCAGTCCGTGCGATAAGAGGGCCCGATAGGAAGTCCGTCGGTCTCCTACCCGGACACTCCCTGCATACCGGATCCGTTTGAACTCGAAGGGGGTACCGCAGGGGTGAGCGGGGTTTCTTGCGGTGAATGCGCGTTCTGATTTGGTCTTGCCCGTCATGCCGGCCGCTCCCAGAATTGAGAGTGGGTCGTTTTTTGTGATTGCTCATGCTTGAGAAAGACCACGGCCGAAGGCTTTTCCTCAATGTGTGGAGCGTCCTAGAGCAGAGTACTACAACTTAAATCATGATTCGTTTTATGCAACACAGACATAAAACCATAACAGCATTTGGCAATATTTTATGGGACATGTACTAAACACGGCAGTCGGAAACGAAACTCTGTCCTGACGATGGCCATCATAGGATGATACATTCTCAAAGTAAACGCTCTACCGTAGCGCAGTTGCTCGCCCGAAAACCGAGTACGTAGTCTTTCTTGCAATTGTCAAGTTTGGTTGTTATGATAGTTTGGTTTGTGTTCTTCCTCTTTACCATCTGTCTCATGGCACCAGACAGATTCGCAGACTACGAGCAAGCGGCAATTGTCATTCTTCGCGATTTTGCCAGTTTTCGATGGCGCTGAGCTAACTGTCTCGGCCTGCAAATGGACCATTTCGCAGCAAATTGCGCCTACATTTCCCTACTCCTCTACATATGTCATTTGCTTGACTAGATAGACTGATTTATTATCTATTCAACAATGTAGATTACGGACCATAACTGTCTCTGGGTCTCGGAAGAACGTAGGCGTAATACCGCCATGTCATTCGCAGCGTATCACGTCAGCTTATGCTAACTCCATGGGGCAGGTTTGCTGGTGCCGCACCATGCACAGTGGTGCAATCCGGACCAACGTGATATATAGGTGTTTCGCCTTTCCAGGATGGATCGCAACACATTTTGATGTTTCATGGTCTGCCACCAACGTTTCTCGAGTAATTAAACTTTAGGAGAGTTTCCCGTATAAGTGTTTTGGCATTGATAGTGATTTAAATATCGGATGGTTGTGCGGGCAGCGTGGAGCCGGAACGTAGTTTACGTGAGCAAACATCTCATATTCAACAATATTGGTGGTCGTGGAAGGTCATATAAAGGCAACACGCGGATAGTGCTCTCCGCACGCGCGCGCATGGGGCGAGCGGATACGTGGTGCTCATGCTAACTGAATCTCTGCGTGTAGGTGCTGTTCAACATATTGGGCTTGGTGGTGTACAACACGTTTCCGGAGAAAGTGGTGCTGAAAGGCTCGCCGCTGTTGGCGCCGTTCGTGTGCGTGCGCGTGGTCACGCGTGGCGACTACCCGGAGCTGGTGCGTGCTAACACACTGCGCAACATGAACACCTGCCTGGCCGCCGGCATGGAGAACTTCATGGTGGAGGTGGTCACCGACCGGGCCGTGCACCTGGCCAAGCACGCGCGCCTGCGTGAGGTGGTGGTGCCCAGCTCATATCAGACCAAGTCGGGCGCGCTGTTCAAGGCGCGCGCACTGCAGTACAGCTTGGAGGACGACGTCAACATGCTGCAGGCCACCGACTGGGTGGTGCATCTGGATGAGGAGACGCTTCTCACAGAGAGCGCCGTGCGCGGTGTGCTGAACTTCGTTATGGATGGCAGCCACAAATTCGGCCAGGGTCTCATCACGTACGCCAACGAGAACGTGGTCAACTGGGCCACCACCCTGGCCGACAGCTTCCGTGTGAGCGACGACATGGGCAAGGTGCGCTTTCAGTTCAAGTACTTTCACAAGCCGCTCTTCTCTTGGAAGGGCTCGTACGTCGTAACGCAGGTACGTGCCGCCGGCGTCAGTCTCGTGTCGCAGGGCAGCTGGGTGTCGCGTCTCGTGGGCTGGCTACAACCTCGTGCACTGTGGTCACGCTGCCGGGAGCTCATGTGACCCGGTCTGGCATGATTTTAGTCGCGTTATCTGCACAAGTGCGCCAGCTGCGTGCTAAGGGTTTAACGGTTGGTTCTTTATATCTGGAGTGTACGCAATTTACGGCAACTCGTTTGGCTGCTTGAGCCCCGAGGCCATCTACGGTGGAAGTTGCCACGGCGTTGAATCCAGACGCTAGCATGAGTCACTGAATACTGCATCGTGAACCTAACCTAGGTCCATTTTCGCGTTTGCGCTGCGCGAAGTGACTGAGATATGGTCGAGCTGTATTTTGATAGGGCTGAGTTGTATTTGTTATCACAGTAGACGAAGCCTCAGCACAGCGCCGCCAGCACCAACGTCAGCAATGCTCGGCCTGCGTGTCAACAGTGCGTGCCTCTGTACTACTGAGAAACTTTGCATTTTTCGTGATTCATTCTCTGCTGCCTTTCAGCTGGACGCCGAACGAAAGGTGTCCTTCGACAACGGCATGGACGGCTCAGTAGCGGAAGACTGCTACTTTGCAATGATGGCTTTTCAGGTATGTGCCATATTGATTTCGGGCACGGGCGGCGTGAGTATTCATTGAACACCGATACACGTGTTAGCAATGTTGTTAGGAACTGGTCGCTGCTTGGTTCAATCTTTTCACGTCTGCCTGTCCACAGGAGGGCTACAGCTTCGACTTCATAGAGGGTGAAATGTGGGAGAAGTCGCCGTTCACCTTCTGGGACTTTCTGCAGCAGCGGAAGCGCTGGATGCAAGGCATCTGGCTGGTGGTGCATTCTCGCGCCATCGCGCTGCGGTACAAGGCGATGCTCAGCCTCTCCATCTACGCGTGGGTGACGATGCCAGTGGCCACCTCCAACATCATCCTGGCCTATTACTGGCCACTGCCGATGCCGCAGCTCTTGGACATTCTTTCGGCGCTCATCGGTGCGGCCTGCCTCTACATGTACGTATTCGGCGTCATGAAGTCCTTCAGCCTATACCGGATGGGGTACGCTCGGTTACTGCTCTGCATCGTCGGCGCCCTCTGCACCGTGCCCCTAAACGTCACCATCGAAAATGTGGCCGTTATTTGGGGGCTCTTCGGCTCCAAGCACCACTTCTACGTGGTTAACAAGGTGGTGAAGGGCAGCCGACACGAGGCGCACACGGTGTAGTGAAGCGGCGCTGACCCTGCCCTAGACGAATGGCGCCGTCGGGCCGCTGCCTGTCTATCGGCCGTTCAGGTCCAGTTGGTGCGCTGTGGAGAGTGGGCGACCCGTCAACGTTGGCGGCGGTTATGTGGCGGGCGCTGGTGTGGTCCCGGCCCGCCGCTGTCGGCCGCGCGCCAGCCACCGTCTCACCAAAGATACTTGCTGGTGACGCTACCCGCACAGCCAGCCCAGCACTCCCTCTGCGCTGGACAGCGCAGTTCAAAGCAGAAAGCGCAGTCAGATGCGTACCTTTGATTGAGCAGTTTTTAATACTTTGCGAATAGCAGCGGGCGTAAGCCCTCCCCGCCTCCGTTAGTATTGTTTGCTGCCGTGTGATTCCGTTGTTTTCAATTAGCGATGAATCGGCAAAAGATTCGCTTGTTATGTGAACCCGTCTCTAGTCTGATTTGCGTACAGCGCCACAGGAGTGTACTTGTAGCCACGCATAGTGGCACTGTAGTCCAGTGAGCCGTTGCTAGTCCAATGAGTCGTTGAGCGGTTGCGTACCGTAGTCAGCTGCTGGCGGTTTTTCCTAGAAGTGTCTATGTTGCGATTGCTGTTGGCATGGGATGTTTGGGGAGGCGGCGGCGCCTGCTGCAGACCTCCCCTACCGTTTCCGTGGCTTTTGCTGTCGGTCACCCTTCGGGCGCTGTGGCCGCTGTGCCGGCGCCGCTGACATTGTCCCACACTCTCGGCTATGGCGAATTGAATCCTGTTCGTAAAGGCTGACGACTGGTGTTGTAATGGTGCCAGCCTTGCTCTGTGACTGCCTTTTGCACTGTGTCCTCTCCAGCCTTTGCAGTAGTGTACTTGCCCACCTAATTTTGACACTTCCTTCGTGTGTTACATGCTATGACTAAGACAGGTGGTGGTCCACTTGTTTCACTGCTCGATTTGGCTCACATTTAACGTGGCGTGTTCCTATTAGTACGCAGAAATGATTGTTGCGATGTCCCTCACAGTTTGCAAGTTTTTCAAGCTTGCAAGTTTAACATTCCCTTTCCTATTGATTGGAGCTGGACTGGACGAAGGCGAGGCTGGCCTAGCAGCCGGCTGCAAGCCTGACGTGGTTCGCCCCCGGTCATGGCCGTACAGCCGCGAACACTGCCGCGCAATGGGCCTTTGGCGTGCGACGTTACAGTGTGACGCTCTATGTTGTGCGGTTATGTGTTTCGACAAGCGTTCATCAGCAAGCATAACTTGGTCACGAGTTGTAACGCAGATGACAGTACAATATGGCGGGTCAAAAGTGACCAGAAGAGCGGTGGTGACCGTTTATCTGAGGGCATTCTCCTATTTTAACTCCAAAGCTCCCGTCACTGAAAAATATTGATTAAGCAGAGGCCTTCCGCATTCAGTTTGTTGTTCCGAGCCCCAAGATTACGAGCCGTGAGGAAAACTTACGAATGAGACGTGATCTATGTCACTGAAGATCTCTCTCCTTTAGCCCGTGCCAGGCTAGCCGGTGACGGCCGGGACTGCTGCATATTTCTGGGCTGAACCATGTTGGCTATGGGCCGGGACGCTTGACCCCGCCAGTGCCACCCATGTTGTCGTGCGTGCGCTAGATTGTGTTGAACAGTGGTAGTGCTATTTGCCCAATACAGGATTCCTTGGCTGGCTCGTACTTGTTCAGGTTGGATAGCGCGCAGTTGTTCATGCTCAGAGGTCTTGTACTGCGAAGTAGAGCAAAATACGTCGTTGCCTTTGGCGTACACTGTTGACCTCCAGCATACTTTGTATGCGATGTTCAGTACAATTTGCGAAAGAAACTTCAAGTGGCGGAGACAGCGTGCATGTTTGTACGGCACCGGCCGCCCGGTCACGGCGTCTCCATCAGGAGCCATGCACGTTTGTCCCGACGGTTCAGTCGCGTGTCGTTCCAGCCTCAGCCCACAGCCCGCGGCCATGTTTGACGCGCATCGATTTTCGGTTGTTCAACGCCCGCATTGTGTGCATTAAGGGCACAGGGTGGGCTGTCAGTGCCGGTTAGGTAGCCCGGGCGGATGGTTAAACATTGTGTCGGCCGCCTTGAACGGCGTCTGATGATTTGCTTGTACCATACGTTGTCCATACCATACCATACCATACGTTGTCTATAGGTTTATATTAAGGCTACTACACGTAATCTGTCACGCACTCCGGTTTGCTTGGGATAATTCACCAACTGTGTGACTACGCTGGGATGTCAGAGCAGAAATGGACGCGTCCCAATCGTTCTAGACAATATCACAGTCAGAGGCCGTAATTTGCGAGCCGACATGTAGGCCTTAACGCGCGCTCGGGAGGGGGTCAAATTGCCCTCCTTAAGGTTTTCCGGACTGGTTTCCGAACGGCACGGCGTAACCGCGCCAAATTTTTGCATAGCTGTAGACAATTGAATATTGGATCGTCTGGCATCAAAAATTTAGATAAACCGTGTAAGGTCGATGGCCTGTGGCAGGTCAAAGTCAGGCCGTGGTTCTAGCGAAGGCAATTTCTAGGGAATCGTTCAATTCGATGCAACAACGGAGTGTTAGACGAGGCCATACATCTCTTAGATACTTTCTTAGGCAACACAGCAATCGAATAAGCAAATTACATTGACCCAGGTCAGATATTAAGGTCAGGCCAATGTCAAGATCAACCTGTTTTATTATTCTAGGGCTTGCTAGGTGAGGTAGTCCGTGGTGCTTATTTCGAATTTATTGATAACGGGAACCGCACTACACACCTTCCATGGACTTCTTTAAGGTCAGAATAGGACACCGACTGGAATGACCCATGTCAGTATTGTGTTTTTAGGAATAAACTGTCTAACGTAATCTTTGTCGCTTATCCAAATGCAATACTCAAAGCTGTCAAACACAAAATGCAAAGCGGTCTTGTATGAGTCACCATAATCTTCAAAGAGTCAAACGAGGTCACTGGCCTCAGATGAGAGGACAGTTATCAAGGTTCTTTATAACAGTTCCTTCCTTATAACAATTATCAGGTTCCAGGGGCCCTCTGGAGACCAATCTGGGATTTGACCTTGTTTGACCTTATTTGACCCGAAGGTCTTGACTTAGGAACCTCAAACCTTGACCCAAGTGAGTTAACGTACAGGTCAACACACCCTGTGAATTTGGCATCTCAAGCTCTCTTAGTTCCTGAGACCTCAGAGACCTCAGGGGAGCCAAATTGAACCCCGAGTAAAGGGTAGCCAACTGGTCACCCGGCCGCGTGTTAACGAAACGTGAGAAGGATCGGAAATGTGCAGCGTCGAAAAAGATGAGGACTCAGGCCAACAAAAAAAGTTCTGGACCCTAATTATAAATTCAAAAGCCCGATATTTCACACATCTGATGTAATTAAAAGCAGCGCATTAAGAACTTGTTCAATAGACATTCGTGAAAATGCGAATGGTGATTTGAATGCTGTACAAATATAGTTGTTGGTGATATAGACGTAGTGACGATGAAGATTGATACCCAAGGATCAACCCCCTGTAAAACAAAATCACTATGAACTTTCACTCAGTTAGACAGCTGGTAGAAGACCACATTGCCGAGCTTCTTACGGCTGAAATCAATCATCCTAACCACAGCCCTTGGTCCAGTCCGCTTATGATAATTGACAGGAAAGGTGGGGAAAGAAGTGATGCTGTGCATCAGCCAGTATTCGCAAATGGGACCCACGCGGGCTAAACTTGGGCCAACTGGGTCAACGTGGGCATGGGCTGGAGGTGGGCTATAGTATTAATATTCAGCGTTGACTCAGCGCCGCCGGCAGGCACCTGCCGGAGCCGTCCCAATTATACTCCAGGGTCAGGTCTGGGACTTAGGGCTCATTTCCCAAGCAAACACAGGGCCGAGATCCGTGATTTACATTGGTCGGGACCATTAAGTTAATGAGTGACTCCTGTGTCAGTCAGGAGACTACAGTACCTAACAAGGGTCCGGTACTGACGAGGAGCTCAGAGTCGACCTGGGACAGTGCTCGAGAGACCCTCGGAGGAGCCGTAGGGTCCCACAGCACCGATGAACAAGAGCTCGGTTGGAGTGCACGAAGGGAGGCCGGGCCATCACATGTCAGATAGAGGGCCTTTGCACTGATCGGGGACAACCTGCGACAATGCGGGTCTCCATTTCGATCACAGACCACCATCACCGTACAGTCGTGTCATGTCGGTCCGCGTTGATCTGAGCCCTGAGGGCCCATTTCCTGAGCAGGGACAAGTTGGGAACCCGCTATTTGCATTGGTTGAGCTTTAAAGCAATGAAGGCTTCTTTGTTGGTCAGAGGCCCACAGTGCCTAGCAGAGGGCCCAATGTTTGCAGGTGGCCTCGAGTCGGCCAAGACAACATCTCTTGGACAGAGGCAGTGACGTGACCACGAAATCCTCGTGCGTTGTTCGAAGCCCTCTGACAATGAAAGTGGAGGTGGGAGTTAACGATGCAAGTCCACAGGGTGCCGGTAGTGTAGTGGTTAACGCGCCACTGCGCGTCTGGGAAACCAGAGGTACGGGGTTCGATTCCCCGCGGTGCCCGCCCTTCCTGCCAGGGTGAGAGGCAGGCGACGCCATATAGCCTCAGTAGCTGAGTGCGTCGTAAAGCCCCAATGACATGACACATGTCAGTCCACAGCGCGCATGAGGTATGGCCTCAGGAGACTACAGCGCCGGATGTGGGGGTTTTGTTTAAGACTTGTGAGCACGCGTGACCAAAAGTGGGTTTTGTAATTCTTCCCTTATTTGATTCTGAACAAAGTAGAGCATTTTAGACCAAAACAGGTTAATGTGAATGCGAATTTACGACCTTATTTCGATCTAAGGTCAACGTTCACAATGTCCCCGTACAAGGCATAAAACTTGCGATGCAGCCACTGAGTGCTATCCGCTTAGGAAGAGTCCACTGAAACACTGTAAGATGAATAGCAACGGCGTGCTTCCTTCAGTTTATCAACTTTTAAGTACAAACAGCATTGTATCTTTCGGTGACTCCTAGCTTTTAAGGAGGATAGGGTTCTCCACGAAATGAAGTGGGCCATATCCAATGACTTCTTTTCTTGGGGAGGGGGGGGGGCTGAGGGCCTCGCTCAGGGGGGGGGGCTTGGTCAACACTGTGTCCCACCCCACGATTACCAAGACTGGCTGCGTCCCTGCGTCGGTACGCTCATTGAGCACCGAGTATGTGGATGTAAATATTAGCAGGATAAGCCAGCTCAACTAGCAACGTTGTTCCCATCCACATGCATTACACATGACATTAATATGACGGGTGTTCCATTTTTCACAAGCTCGAAGTGAAATGGATGAGAGTTGCTTTTCCTTCAGAAGCACAATAACTTTGAACAGTGTCTCTCAGACGCATAGCTGGCCTGCACTTTGTGTTTGTTGAAGAGGACTTGAAAGGGGTTTCCATGTTCTAAACTTATGTAGAGAATGAACATTTACAGTATTCCACATGAATTCGTTAACACTGATATTCACTAAAATGCACATGCATTGTCAATGAAATTTGGGTGTGTTGAAAACCTGCGGATTATCCGATTATGACAGCCACATATATTGTGGACATTGGACAGTTCTGATAATGGTGAATTGTACACCAATTTCGTTTTTCATTTTGCAAGAGAGAGCTGCAACTGCATCCCTTCAGCTTCACAAAACAGGTGCTTTTATAATAGCCAGATGTAATCTGCGAGGCCTCCATGCATGACTGCTGTGGTGACGCACGTGCGGTCAAAAATGAATGTAAGCACACTGCATATATATATATATATATATATATATATATATATATATATATATATATATATTATTAGCTGACGACCCGAGCATTAGATACGAAATCCGAGAAGTTTCTGGCCTTGTCCTCTTATGGCGACTTCGACGAATCCGCCATTCCCATTTATTTTCAGAAATCGACGCTAAATCAGAAACTTAACTAAAGAAATAAAGAAATCACAAGCCCATGCTAAAAACCTTGCTTGGCAAAACAGAAGCCTGAGAAAGTTCGGCACGAAACTGCTTACATCGTGAGCGTTCGTATGGATAAGTTCGTTTGCAGTCGTTTGTCAATGGTGAGGTTTGTGTCAAAAAACTACCTTCGCGTACGCTTTTACGCAGATAAATGTGGACACACGCATGTTCGTCCTCAAATGTTTGTCGTCGACAACGTTAGTTTTACTTTACTGTGCTTATACAGTTGGAATTCAGATGTATGATGTATGGCAATGTTCAGGAGCAAACGGTCGCCAGGGATACATTACGTCCGAAGAAAATACTGACGCCATCGCCGACAATGAAAAGAGCATTTTAACATACCTTATTACATGATATGGTTGCACGCTACATGCCATGTATTCTGCTGACACCAAACGATGTACGTTTTTTGAACTTTCACAAAACCCCTAACACAGCCACACCAGAAGGTACTATAGCTCGAAACCACAACATGCATGAATAGCGTGTGAAAGCACACGAATTCCGAAAATTCATATTTCGCAAAAAATCGGCTGGCAACGAGGAGGTTATTGTGTAATGGTAAAGAAAGCTCGAAAGGGTACTATTTCAGTTCAATTCGTGCCATATCTAATCCAGAAATTCACACTTATATGTCGTTGCCACGTTTATCCTTGTACATTAATGGTGCCCTCATAGACATTTTTCGTTTTTAGAGTTTTATTAGGGTTTGGTTTTAGACCAGCCAACACTGCCCCTTCCTTTGTTTGAACAGAACACTGGATAGTTAAAAAAGCCAAGCCTCATTCTCTGATCAAGGTCATCTCTCAAAACACAGATTTTGGGAGACCGGAGAGGTGGTGTGCATGGTTTGATAATCGGGTGATCGATATTTTCTGAAACGTCTTCACAAGAGTGTTATGCATGCGAGCACTCAATGCTGTATCTCTAATGCTTGTCATCCCCATCGTGGGGATGGGCCAAGACGCCATGCCACGCCCGGCGACAGTGGCGAGAGAGAGCTGAGGGGGGGGGGGGGGGGGGCGGTGAGCTGCGAGCTGTCGAGCGGTGGGGACATTTCGTTCTTGTGTTGGCGAGCTGAGACGGGAAAGACAGTGGGTGGACAGACAGCGATTGTGTGAAGAGACGTAGTTGTGTGTGCAAAGACAGTGGATACTAACATTTGAACATCGAACGGTGTTTACTACGGCAAAGAGAGACAGGAGCCGAGTCTGGCTAGTGGACATTTCTAACCTCTATACTTCAGTCACCCAGGCATTCACGACGCCACAAAGCGTTAATAATATCCTGCCATTCCATTGGTCATGAGGTGATCAAGGCCGAGGAAAAACATCTGGCAAACCGCTTATACCTGGCGTCCGTTAGCACGATTTCCAGATATAATGTCTGTCAATTCGCTCTGAAGCAATATTTTGCAGTGTCCGATGAGGCAATAGAAAACGATGGCTTATTGAACAGCATATCTACCAAATGGTGAAACTGTGTTGTCCAGAGCAGTCTTTTCCACTGAAAAGTATTTCAGTATTTGTAAATGAGCCTTTCGACCTTATCTGATGTTTGCTTCCGTGTCTCCAAATGCGGAACGTTCCATTTAAAACCAGAATTTGTAGTGTTGGATGGTTGCCGTAGTTCGCGTAGGATGTTCCATTTCACCCGATCATTCAGTGGTGGCATGGATCACAGATATATGCATCGGTTTATTCCGTAAATATACGCGTACCATGGATGCGAATATACAAAGTATGCACACAGTATGCGTGTGTTTGTAGGGGTCCGTCTGTCTGTGCATATGCATGTGCATGAAAGGGCACACGAATAACATCGCCAAGCACCAGCGCATCCCGGGGACATGGATCGCTTGCTCAGCCAGTACGCGAGTCCGACGCTGGTCAGGTCCGATTGCCGATCGTCGCCGAGCCCTCCAGAGCTCTGAGCCTTCGCCGTGAGAGGCGCGGCTGCACAGGCCGCCAGCGCTCCAAAGCTTACAGCCCGTTGGCAACTTATGAGGCCGCAGCCAAGCCGAGGAGCGCTGACGGAACGCACGGAGTAACAGGACATATAGTAACGTAAGAGCGCGGTACAGGACGCCGCTACAAGGAAACAAGCGCAGCAAGAAGCGATACAAGACAGCGGGATATATTATGGATACCACAGAGGTGGCCCCGTCAGATCGCCGCCGGACAGCTGGCATATTATAAGCGAGGTACCTCCTGAACGTCCGCGATCCGACGCCCGCGCCCCGCGCTGTCGTTCGTCACCGACTCCCGAGCGCCTGTCCAAGCAAGCCTGTAAAACGCCAGCGTGATGCGGCGTACGAAGGGCCAGCGCCGAACCCCGCCGACCACCGGCCAATGCCCCCCGCCCGCCCTCCCCCCCCCCCCCCCCCCCCCCCCAGCCGCGTACAGTAAGGCAAGCCCGCCGCGCGGCAGCAGGCCACGACACTGGCAGCATGGGTCCCTGTATGCCATATATACTACTGCTACCGGTGAGGCCTTCGAGTAGCACGAGGAATAGAGATGCGAGGACCGCGGCTCTACGAGGGCCCCGCCGGCACCGGCGGGCACTCGTCCTGCTTCCAGCTCACAGCGTCCAAACAGCGCGGCCTCACGACTGCCCTGAGGCTCCTCTGACGTCACACGGGTCCCGGTGGCGCGGCGTAGCGGTCGCTGCTTTCGATGTAGTCCGAGTCGCAAATGTATTTGCCTGAAATACCGCATTTGCAGTTATTTATAGTTAGTAGCTGCAAGACGGCGTGTAGGTCAGCCCCAAAATCACTCCGTTATGCAATGTCTAGTATCGGCGGACAGTCAGTGACACATGGCCACTGTTGTCCGCTCGTCGGCCTTTGCCGGTGGCAGCGCCTGTCCGCTACACCACAGCGGCATGAGACGGCCGGCCAGAGGAGGGAACAGCCGCTCTCACCCGACACGAAGCGCCGCTTGACCAGTGAGAGCCGGTAGCCGGAGCCGAGCAGCTGGAGCTCGGCGCCTGACAGCGTGCTGCCCTCGCAGCTGAACTGCGCCGCCAGCGTGCTGGGGCTGCCTGGTCCATGTGACAGCTCAAACCTGGTGGCGCGGGGACCGGTCAGGCGGGGCGGCGCCGCAGGCACCGCTCGGCGCCCGCCACCGCAGCATAGCGCACCGCACGCGCGGGAGCGGTGCCATTGGTCGCGCGACACGTCCGCTCACTGTACACGGACGCCCACGACATACCTCACCCTGGCGGCCACGGACCCATGGCCAGAGCACCCCCACCATCAAGTTCGGAGCTGCGACTCGGCGCAGCACTGATGTGCCGCGCTGGCGCGCCAGAACGATCAGCAGAAGGAACGGGGTCCGCACCAAACGATTCAAATGCGTAATGGTTTAGTCGAGCATTCCAGTGGGTCGCACGCATCGCGGGTCAATGAAATATGCAGTTGTTTGTTACCGCACCAGATACACCATTCAACAAAAAGGTTCAATGAGCAGGTAAAGGAACATCGCATCGTATATTCTACAGGTCATCATTCCCCACAAGCAACTTTTGGCGCGCTACAGCGTAGTACCTGGCTTTCAGTGCGCCCATGCCGTGGTCTTTGCCAGCTGCAGACAGCTCTGGAATCTTCCACATTGCCCGATTAGCGTCCGAAACCCTGCCAACCGATAAATGTTAACGCCCACCGCAGTACTTCGACAGGCCGATGGAAGGGGACGTGTGCAGCACGATGGGCCTGCAGTAGTCACGGGCGACTCGCATAGAGTGTCTGCGAGCCACACTAATCAAGCAAAACAACATTCTACTCGGCACCAAAGAAAGACCAACCGGTTTTCATCCGCAGTTATGGGTCTAAATCGCAACTGGTCAAGTAGCATGATTTTTTAACGAGGCCAGTTCAGAAAGCAATGGCCTCCGGACGGCCCACGCCACCAGCGGCTGAGAGCGAGCAGTGGGCGAGCGAGAGGTGGTGCAGCTAACCATTTTCCGGTGGGCTTAGAGTGCATGGCAGTGACTCCGCCGTCTACGGGCGCCGCCACCGTGATGTTCTGCAGGGCGCAGGGAGGCGACAGCGCGTCGCCGTTATACTTGTACTCCACCTGAGAGAGACACGACACTGACCAAACGCTGAACTTTGCGCTCGGTGTGTCTTAACACTCCACCCCGTGCCCTTCATCCACACGGCACACCACTACCGCCTGGCTGGCACCTGTCGAGCGCCTGGCCACAAACGCCCACCACGGTCCTGGTATCGTCGGGAGCGGCGAGATCGATCTTTCAAAGGCGCTCGATAGCGTCACCTACGACGTCCCCTTCACCAAGCTGACTTGGTATGGTGGTGCCGATGTGGGATGGCTCATTCATGAGTTATTTGAGTGTTCACGGGCAGGTGGTGCGTGCAGGACGGCTCACTATCCAGACGGCAGGTCGTGAGCACCAGGGCTCTATCATCGCCCATACTTCGTTTATTCTATCCACCAACGATCTATTGGGATACTTCACTCATGGTCGCCTCATATCCCACACTGACGACGCCAAGCACGCAGACTGTGCGCGACCAAAGCACCAGGCTGCCCGACCTTAAAACCTGATGTAAACTTACCATGTGCTAGCTGCAGTCCTGCCTCAGTGACAGTCCCCTCAAAATGTAGGCAATGAAAGCGACCGTTTGCTTCTTGGCTCAAAACGAAATTCAAAAAGTCCCTAGACTCTCACTCATATAAATGGTTCGACTATGCACGCCTCAAGTAGCATCCCTGCCTCAAGTAGCATCCCTATTCTAGATGTCCTAGTTGACTGGTCTGTCACGAGATGTGTATGTTCCCAGTGTCGTGAAAAATGCAAAGCGTTCCCGCCCCTTTGTACATATGCCATTATTAGTTCACCCCAGACATACTCAAGATCATCTCCCAGCAGCACACTCCCTTAAATTCCGCACTGCATGCACATGTGTGGTTGGACCACCAAGAGTCAAATGCATCATGCTACAAAAAGCACTAAATTTCGCCGCATGAATCACTACAGACCCCGACAAGAGTGCCGTCATAACTCTGGCTCTACATTTCCTGTGATGGTAAAGCATCATACGCTGATTAAGCCTCAAGTGCTCGGCCACGCCGGACCGGACGGCCGAAATGGCTACGGACACAACCCCTGGCCTCCCATCGGCCTCACTTTGAGGTCCGTGTGTGTGGGCTCGCACTTCCAGTAGGCCACTAGCTGCAGCGGCACCGAGCCGGCTCCTGGCCGCGTCACGATCTGGTGACAGAGTGGACGGCCGCCGTCGGTCATGGGTCCAGCGGAGGCGGGTATCTCCACCGACGGGGCCGCGCTGACAGCAGACCCGCCCCAAGCGCTACATAAACACATCCACGCGCACTCACACGCACACGCACACGCACTGAACAGACACACCGCACCATATCATACTGCCATAATCAACTGGCGATAGCTGGCAAAACGAACAAAACTCTGCTGAATTAATCATCTATGACCAAAGGCGGCACATTTGCCTACGCACAGTTCTTGCAATCGAACAACAACGCATTACATGACGACCATAAAAAAACAATTTACGACCTTCACTACCTCCACAAGGTCGCATTTTTTTCGCCGTACTTGATATTTGAGGATATCCACGTTGAAGTAGGAGGCGGATGGATTTTTCTCCGCCTGCTTCCTCAGCAGCGCCGTGAGGTTGTCCATTCGGAACTCGAACACGGCCGTATCGATGCCGCTGAGCTTGAGCTCCCTGACACACAGCGACGTACTGTCAGGCAACAAAAGAGTACAGCCATAACATCAAACAGGACAGCGTTCACCGGCGCACCAAGACACCGCGTGCTGGAACAAAGATGCCTGGACGGGCACGATCGATAACAGTGCGGCGTAGCAATTAGGAGAAAGGCAGCGCCGGACTCAGCAGTGAATGCTCATAAATTATTCAAACCAAACGCGCAAATGAACATGCGGGGGATAGGAGACACCAAAAGGGGACTGGTACGAAAAAACTCGGATTTCGTCAACGTGTGTTCTGGCTATCCATTACATATACATACATACCTACATGCATACATGTACACACACACACACACACACACACACACACACACACACACACACACACACACACACACACACACAACACACACACACACACACACACACACACACACACACACACACACACACGCACGCACGCACACACACACACACACACACACACACACACACACACACACACACACACAGATATATATATATATATATATATATATATATATATATATATATAACTAATTATCTCTTATGCCGTTGTTAAAGACCTTGGCAAACGTATATTTAATGAGTTTGTACGCTAGCTACAAGTTTTCGTAATGCCATCTTTTGTTGATCATTCAAGGTAAAAAGTAGCTCGCCGATGTTTTGGCATATTTTATTAGCATGAAGTTTTCGAATAGCTATTCCATTCTCAGACACGCAACACACAAGACATATATGTTTACGTATTGATGACCGTGTGACGTGGTGCTATGAGGTACCACTGCCCGTGTGAAGTGGTGCTGTAAGGTACCACCACCCGTGTGTCGTGGTGCTATGAGGTACCACTGCCCGTGTGACGTGGTGCTGTGAGGTACCGCTGACTGTACGACGTGGTGCTGCGAGGTACCACTGCTCGTCAAGCGGCGCTGAGAGGTACCAATGACAGTGTGATGAGATGTTGTCAGGTACCACTGACTGTGTGATGAGGTACTGTGAGGTACGCTGTGAGGTACTTCTGACTATGACGTGGTGCTGTGAGGTACCACTGACTACGTGATAAGGTGCTGTGAGGCACCATTGACTGTGTGATGAGGTGCCGTGAGGTACTTCTGACCATGGCGTGGTGCTGTGAGGTACTACTGACTGTGTGATGAGGTGCTGTGACGTACCAATGACTGTGTGATGAGGTGCTGTGAGGTAATTCTGACCATGGCGTGGTGCTGTGAGGTACTACTGACTGTGTGATGAGGTGCCGGTTGGGCAGAAGGCTCTCCATCCGGCCGGTGTTCTTCAGCCGGAACACCAGCGGCGCCGGCGACGGGTTGGACGTCAGCACCTGGACGATACCGGACGGAAACGACACCATGGTGTCGCCCGTCATCTTCACCTGACACCTGACGGCGCCCAGCGCACGGAAACGTCAGGGGAGGGGCTACCGACACCGACAACGGCGCCGCGCCACAAGTACGGCCCTCACCGGGCGCTAGCAACGCAGCTGAACGGTACCGCTCGTGGAGGCCCAGCTACCGGAACTTAGCGGCAGCTCACACATCGGGACGGAATGATAGGGACTGGTGTGGTGTCGGTTAAATATGGTTTCCTTATCATGGCTGTTAAGGCCATGCCTTACTGGTCACGAAGGCTTGTAATAAAGGTCCCGCAGGCGCGATCGATGTGCGCTAGGCTACCGCCGGGGACGGAAGGTAAACTCCACACAAAATGACATGCAAAAGTGATGTGCAGGTCGGGACAACGTGGCAAAATTCTTTCAGTTAGGTGCCAGGGAAGCCAACATGAATTCAGCCTGGTGGGGCCCGCCTCCTCTCCGCCGTCTCTACCTCCACCATGGTTCCTGTGCTGCTAATGCGCTGCCCTTTGACCTTGGATCCTCATGCCCAACCCGCCAGTCCGGCCTACCTTGCCCGAGGCGCATATATGCTGGGTCGACCTCCAACCTGCTCGATACTGATTGGTCGCTCCTGAGCAAAGAGAGGAGCAACAACCAGAGGACCCCACGGCACGTGTGCAATAGCGTGAACAAATATTGGTCTCCCTGGCACCCAATGGCTGAATTTTGTCATACTAGTGCGAGAGCACGCCAAACGACGGGCGCGGCTGGGACGAGGCGACAGTGCCGCGCCACCGCGGCCCAGCTGTACCGCGCGTGAATGGCCGCCCTCGCTGGCAGCTACCTGCTGAGCGGTCCCAACCGGTAGAAGCGCGCGTGCACGACATCGCGCAGCAGGACAGCCAGCGGCAGGGGTCGGTCATAGAGGGGCCGGCCGGGCGTCCGGGTGAGCACGGTGTGTGGTCGAGCTGCCATCGGCAGGTACTGCGCCTGCACCGCCGCCCGCCGCCCAGACCGCGACCCCACGTACACGGGGTTGTCGTATGCGGCCGGCGGGCCGGCGGCCGGCTCTGCACACCGGCAGCAGCGGCCGTAGCGGCGGGGCGCATTCGGCGTCCGTTCGCCGCCACTCCGTGGTCGAGGGCGCGGCAGGGAACTGCTCCAGGAGAGGTACGAGCACGAGTGCCCCGTGCACGAGCACGAGGCATTGGCCCGCCAGCCACACGTCCACATCCGGGGCCCGGGCGGCGGGCCTGGGGCGTAACGCGGCGGGCACCAGCCGCCGGAACCTGGCCTCAAAGCTGGCATTTGAACGTGGTCTTGATCTATCTGTAGGCGGGGTGACTCCTGTTCGGTGATGTCCGACCCGTATCTCGCATGAGGATTTGAAGGAACGTGATCCACACTGGAAAGGACATGACCCAATAGGAAAACGATTAGACGCAATAAAGGATGATCTGCAAGGAAAACGTCGACGAAAATCACGGCGTAATATATCGATGGTATGGCGTTTAAAAATAATGAGCGACAATAACTATCGTGGAATGCAAATGGCATATTCGAACCTAAACGATGCATGACCCATCCCGTGCCGTCTCCCGACGTCTGGCGGCCGACGCTGGGCAGTGCAGCGGGCAGACGGCGCTCACCTGACGGCGCCCGAGCCGGCGGCGCTTACCTGACGGCGTCCGAGCCGGCGGCGCTCACCTGACGGCGCCCGAGCCGGCGGCGCTCACCTGAAGGCGTCCGAACCGGCGGTGCCTACCTAAAGGCCTCCGAGCAGGCGGTGCTTACCTGACGGCGTCCGAGCCGGCGGCGCTCACTTGAAGGCGTCCGAGCCGGCGGTGCTTACCTGAAGGCCTCCGAGCCGACAGTGCTTACCTGACGGCGTCCGAGCCGGCGGCGCTCACCTGAAGGCGTTCGAGCCAGCGGCGCTCACCTTAAGGCGTCCGAGCCGACAGTGCTTACCTGACGGCGTCCGAGCCGCGGAAGTACGCGTGCACCACCTCTTGGAAGGCTACGGCCAGCGGCACGGTGTCGCTCAAGCCCAGTGTCAGCGGCGACGGGCCGCGCGAGGCGCCCACACTCGCCTCGGCCGACCGCGGCGCGCCGCTGCCAGCCGGCGACGGCGACGGTGACGGCGACGGCGTCGGGCCGCGTGAGCCAGGCGACGCCAGCGCCGGCGACTGGCGGCCGCGTGCGCCGCCCGAACCCTGCCCGGTGCCGGCAGACGCCACTCACACACGGGCACGGCAGCCAGCTAGCACAGACACGTGGCCATGTATAATCTTTATGCTCCCCCTACACACCAAGATCAAACAAACTGTTCATCACACCCAGCTCCTTCACCCCAAGGATACGTTATGAGTGCGTAATGTAAAAACAAAAATGGGGACGGAACTGGTCAATGTATTACAACACGAAATATCCCATCAGTCAAAACGGCAGAGCACCACTGAACCAGGCACAGACTGACCGCTGTTTCAGGTGGACAAGTCGTAATCTCCTGCCCCGCACGAGCAACGCCTTCAGACGAACCCAGGCTCGCGGCAGCCAGCCGGACCCACCTCCACGCTGCGACGGCTCGGCGGCCGAGGAATGGCTATTGACGAGAGCGTGGGCGTGGTGCCGCGCGCTGGCGCCGCCTGTGACTGGTGCTTGGGCGGCAGCGCCGGCGGCATGTCAGAGCTCTCGGCAAATATCTCGCTCAGCTCTGAAACGGGGCGCCAGAATCAGCAGAGGGCCTCGCAGAGATCAGCCCGCCTCGCAGCCTGGCCCGCCCGGCCGCACCCTGCCCCGCCCTGCCCCGACTCGGTCGGCTGCGGCCACCTACCGGCGTATCGGTCCGAGTCAGCCGAGGGGGCGGCGTCGGCGCGCGGGACGTAAGGAGCGCCGGCCGTCGGCGTAGACTGGTTCGACTGCGTGGGCGAGTGGAAGCTCAAGCCGATCAGGTCATTACTCGGCCGCCTGACGACAGAGAATAGCATGTTGATGTTCTGGTGATAATGCAGGTCATGATCACTCTTGCAGCAGAATATCAGCCGCATCAACAAATCACTGCAAAGGACACATAGTAGCAAATCTCCATGACACCGATGCATAACTATGGAGGGGCACGCAAAGCGTTTTGAAGCTTGTGGCACGCCTATCCCAACATTCGATAACACATACTGAGCGGCGCGATGATGTTGCTGCGCTAAGCTCGGTGCTGCACGATGCCGAGCCAGCTGTGCCGTGACAGCCGGCCGTGAGGCGAACACGGCCGGTGCGTCTGCTGCCCGACCGCAGAAAACCCGGTCACGGGAGCCGGGAGGGCGAGGCAGCCCGGCGAACACGGCCGGTGCGTCTGCTGCCCGACCGCAGGAAACCCGGTCACGGAAGCCGGGAGGGCGAGGCAGCCCGGCGAACACGGCCGGCGCGTCTGCTGCCCGACCGCAGGAAACCCGGTCACGGAAGCCGGGAGGGCGAGGCAGCCGGCCGTGAGGCGAACACGGCCGGCGCGTCTGCTGCCCGACCGCAGGAAACCCGGTCACGGAAGCCGGGAGGGCGAGGCAGCCCGGCGAACACGGCCGGTGCGTCTGCTGCCCGACCGCAGGAAACCCGGTCACGGAAGCCGGGAGGGCGAGGCAGCCCGGTCCAACGAGAGGTCAGTGCTGGACAGCCCGGTATGATGACGGAGAAGGCAGCGGAGGGGAGCCGCCGGCGCGTGGAGGGAGTGGACCGCCGGCCGGCACTCACTGGTGGCCGAGCTGCTGGGAGACGGACTGCGAGCGGCGTAGACCGGCGCTCTCCTCGGCGATCGTCGGGCTCTTACTCTGCGGGCAAGGGCGGACCAGCGTTCACAGCTGGCGCTCGGCGCCGTGCTGACCATCCCAGGCCAAGCGTGCATTACGCCGGGCTTGGGTGCAAAGCTTTGTTCGGCCATGGCCCCCACGAAACATCCCCATACATAGCCGGGCGTACACGGCCGGGGGCATACACGGCCAGGCGTCCAGTTTGCATTACACATGTCAGCACGCATGCAAGCTGCCGGGCACGCCCGCAAACCTACCGGCACCCCTTAAAACATCAGAAAATCGAAGTACCAATTGTTGAAAGTGCTGCAATGGTGATAATGCGGAGGTCTGGAGTTGCTTTGATTCAGAAATGAATAAAACAAACTGCTGTGTTATTGTCAACCTCAAAGGACTAAGAACACATTGTTATTTCATCCTGGCATCCAACTACGGGACAATGTTCATGCAAACCCGTCTGAGCTGTTAAACCCGAGCATTCGCTAAATCCGCTACCATGAATACCACTGGCCAAAAAATTAGACCAGGATGGACATGTGACCAGTGAAATGATCCACAGTTGGCTTAATTCTGTGCGCAGCGCTCCGCACTCACATTAGGGAGCGAGCAAAAAGCAGGCTAGGTCACCCGATGAACCAGTTTTCGTTCGACTGCAAGTAAGCCGAACAATCTTATAGCATTGATAACTTTGATATCTGCACGTCTTGTTGGGAGTCTTGCGTGGTCCACTCTGGTGGCCTGTACGTTCGCGAGGGTTCATCACCACACTTAGCCGACACAAAGTCATTTCAGCACCGGGCACCAGCCTGGCTCGGGTTAGCCCGGAGTCATGTCAGCTCCGGACACAAGCCCGGCTCGGGTTAGCCCGGAGTCATGTCAGCTCCGGACACAAGCCCGGCTCTGGTTAGCCCAGAGTCATGTCAGCTCCGGACACAAGCCCGGCTCAGGCTAGCCCGGAGTCATGTCAGCACCGGAGACCAGCCCGGCTCAGGTTAGCCCGGCGGAGTCAGCTCAGTCCGATGTCACAGGACCATCGCGTCACCAGTTCAACTGGGCGACTTCATCACCACATGGTCCAGCAGACGCTGACACTGTGGCTAGTGCCTGTAGAATCCGGCCGTGAGCGAGCAGCGGACGCCGGGTTCTGTCGTCCGTTAGCACGGTCAGAGCTGAGTGAGCCGGGTTCTGTCGTCCATTAGCACAATCCGGCCGTGAGCGAGCAGCGGACGCCGGGTTCTGTCGTCCATTAGCAGGTCAGAGCTGAGTGCTTGCGACACACCACACCCATGCTGGCACGGCGGACCAGAAAGCCCCCCCCCCCCCCTCCCTTCCCCTCGGGGTAGGAACCGGCACCGCTGCTGGCAGCACATTAGAAACATTCATCTCAACACCAGCGCAGCTAACCTCGAAAGTAGTGAACACTATGTCAGTAATTGAAGAGATAAGGAATCCATGTCTTAAATACGCACCTAACACCCCATGCTTCAAAAACAACCGCGCACATGACTTTCTGATATTTCCAAACCGTCAAACTGGTTGCTGAGGCGGCATCTCACCAATCCCATTAAAACATGCATTGTTCTTTAGATGTTGTTCATCTATATTTCAGTAGGGCATCTGATAACGTGCCAAACCAGCGTCATTTAAATCAGTCAAAATTGTATGGATGCTGCTGACGGTGATGATTTGGGCTTTGGGGCGCTTAAAACTGTATGGCATTGAAGGGAAAATCCTTGTCTGGTTAGGGGGCTCCACTGCAAAACAGAACACAAAAGTGGTGCTCAAAGGTAATAAATCTCAAGGAGAGCTAGAAGATAGTGGGGTTCCACAGGGGTCGATGTTGGGTCCTTTGCTCTTATAATTTTTGTGGATAATATTGAGATAGGATTAGAAAGGAAGACGCTTGAATTTGTTGACGAGATTAAATTGACAGCGTATCGAAAAATACAAACCAGGTGAAACTTGATTTAGAGAAACTAGTGACCTGGGCTCTGTGGCAGATGTCATTTCATTATGAGACGTGTAAGGCGACCAATTCAGGTGGTTCTGGCAGTGAGGACATGGCTATAAAATTGAAGGCCGAGAGTTGGACCAGGTCGAGGACGACAGTGGCTTAGGGTTATAATTTCCAGGAATTTAAAAACTGAGAAGCAATGTGGGGCTGCTAGGAGTAAGGCATTACGGATCCTGAGACTTATCAACAGAATGTTCATTACAAGAATAGGAATATTGTCAAAAAGTTGCGGTTAGTTTACGTCAGACCCCACCTTAAGTATTGCGTACAGGCTCGGTCCCCCTGTTTCCAAAAAGATATAAATATGCCGAGAAGAGCGCAGCAAAAAGCAACTAAAATTATAAATGGGACTTAGAATACCAGGATACGCTTAAGGCCTTGAATTTGTTCGAATTGAATTCGAACACTGATATATCGTTCACTTAGAGGGGCTTTGATAGGGGTTTTCAGTATCATGAAAGGGCTAGATAAGGTAGCTCTACAAGGAACACTGAAAATTACGCCGAGACTTAGAGAAGACCAGTTCCAGTTAGCAAAAGGTAGGAGAAGAGCTATGAAGAGGCAGATGTCATTTAGCCAAAGAGTAGCGAATCAATGGAATAGACAGCCGAACAAAGTCGTGAGAAGTCCCTACCTAGCAACATTAAAAAATAGTTTGGACAAGTTCTATAGGTCTACGGATCTCATTTATAGCTAAATTCGGGCAGGTCAGGTGGTCAGATTAGTTCAAGGATGGACAACGAACCTAGGGTATGCCAACCTCAATGAGTCCTTGTGGCTCCTTGTTGGCCTGATGCCTTCATGTCTTTATGATTCCTTGATAGATGGATTCTGCTCGTTTTTTTTTTCTTTTCTTTTCCATAAGTACGCACCGCTGCCTACCCAGCAGTGCACAGTCACGTTTCATCTGGCAGGAGCTTAGGGACAGACGTTTCCAGATAGATCCGTTCAAAACTGCGCTATTTCAACTACCAGATATCGCTGTCACACCAATGGGCCAGCATAACGTGCACAAACAAACAAACCAAAGACCAAGAGCATGCCCAAAACACACAACCACATGCACAAACCTCTCGGTTTGTTCCGCTAGAACACACTCACAGAGCACACATGCACATGGCTGTTACGTCCCACGTTATGGGCGCTTCTACAGCAATGGTCGCCGAGTAAGCAAATTTTCGAACTCACAAAATCCGACCGGTTGCATTTCATGCATTGCATGCTCGACATATACCTGGAGGCTATTGGCCACATTGAGATGACGGGGCCTCCGTAGCTGTGCCACATGGAACAGAACGTACCACTTTAAAAAGCGGAACGGAAATACGTTGCAGAAAGAACTATCAACAGTGTATACATGCACACAGCTCAAGGCGTCGCACAAACAACACCGAGGAGCAAAGAAAAGTATACACGATGGACGACATCAGAAAAAGACGAGAAAAAAAACGAGGAGTGCGGTCAGTCCTGCTCCTCGCCGGCCAGGTCATGCTCATCATGCTTAATGCAGTGCCGGCGAAAGCCGCGGAAGGTCGCGAGCGCCGCCTAAAGCAGGTGCGCTTGGAAGCCTTCGATGAAAGGATCCGGATACCGCATCCCTGTCTGTTTGGAAGGGAGGAACGTCGCTGACACAGAACAGGAGCACGAGCTGACGGCGGCTGGGAGAGGCGACATGAGTGGGCCTTATCGTTATGACCGTGGCTGCAGCCAGTCCCATAACTTTAATGACGCATATGAGTACCGCGCCTAAAACCACCATCAACTCCCAGAATTTTATGGTCAGAACTGCTTCATTAACCTGACATCAGTATGCTGGTCCGACGTTTCTCAGTCTCGCGGTAGGAGAGATAAGTGCCGGTGGCTAAAGGTCGCGGTCAGATGACCAGGGCAGGTCAAGCGCACCACAGCCATTCCAGGCCCTCATGCGGGGCCGTCTTGTGACCTCGTGCTGGTCTGCGAGGCATCTTGTGACCAGAAGGGTTCCCCCCCCCCCTCGACTTTGACTTTGACCGCCGTCTCGGGGTCACCGGGACGGCGCTCGTGCGAAAAGTGCCGCTGACCAGAGCAGCCTCCCTGCGATCTCACCGAGCCGGTGTTGGCTGGAGAGAGCGTCAGGCCGCTGGCCAGGTGGCGCAGTTCGTCTACGCTGGCCGATATCGTGCCGCCTCCGTTGCTTAGCGGGTTGATCTTTACGTGGATCTTGTTCGTGGGGTCTTCATCTGCGAGCAACAGCAAGGCCAACAATATTACTGCTTTGGTACATGCGGGGTATGCGACATACACAGCAGCCCATCGCCACGCGGTAAAAGCCGTCAGCAAACGCTGTCGGCAAGCATAGATCAACCTGTTTTCCCCTCCCCTCCCCCCAAGCCCTATGGTTGCTGGAATGCTAACCACACAGTTTCTTTCTTCATCACATCGGTGAAAAAGTTCACTCACACAAGGGTTTCAGTTGATTTGTGCTTCAATGTTGGACCTCAAGGCAAGGATCCAACTGGCGCCATACAGCTGCCACCGGCGCCCGTCTAGCGCCCGCGCCGCTTGGCCGCGACGGAGGCGGCTGGCTCACCGGAGTCGGAGTCACTGGACGAGTAGAAGCTGTCGCGTCGCTTCTTCTTGTCCGTCTCGAGCCGGGGCCGCACCGAGAAGCCCTCCTCGTCCACCACCGGGCTCGCCTTGTGGTTCTCCTCGCTGCAAGAGGGGCCGCTGAGAAGGCACCGTCCGTGTGAAGTCACCGACGCAAGGGCCGGGGCTGCACGGTGTTCGGCTAACGACACGGCCACACAGCGACAGAGCCAGCCGGGGTGGCCAGCAACAGGGCGCCCCGAGAAAACAGTTATCGTCTCATTGCGTTCCATTATGAGATGGACAAGGGCAGTAGCCATCTCCGCGGTTTAGGGGAAATATGCTCGGCTCGTAATCCAGCGGCACTGGGTACGAATCCCAGAGCGGGCGCATTGTTTGACACAACTGAAATGGAAAGGTCAGCTGGCACCCGGCCAACGAAGGTAAACCCGGGCCCGGGGCGGCCGTGCCGCAGCATTGTGCGGCACGTAAAAACCTCCGCAGTCCTGTATGGCAAAAGGGCGGAGGCAAAATTATCTGTTGAACTGCACGGCGCGACTTGGGTGGTGGGTTCGGGGTACACGCGACAAGCTGTGCCTAGCGGGTACTCTGAACCCAAAGTTAAACATGCAAACCATTCGGAATAAATTTGAAAAGTCTGCCCACAAGAAGCAACGTACAAATGTTTAGTCTTCTAAAAACATGTTCGCCCTAAAATCGGGCGATGTCTGAAGCCGAACACTGTCATGGCGTGAGCATCTGAACAGGACATATGAGACGCCAAGAAGCATTGGACAACAGCAGGGTTCTGCTAACATGCAAGTTACATGCCAGCCGACACTCCATCCTCCCCCGAACGGCGCGAAGTGATAGCGGATCCGGCGTGGTCACACTGGTTTCGTGGGCAATATTGTGAACTGCAACATGAGAGTCTAGATCTGATTTTCGGTTGGGTTTATGACTCTGGGCGTTACTGTGATCACCGTAGTTGCGAGCGCTTCAAAATGGCGCGTGCGATGACGTGCGATGCGCCACATTCAGTACAGACTTCCCACCGGATAGCTGGGGCATTGAGGGGATTTGCTGATGTACCTTATGATTACATCATTGCCACTTCGAGGTCTCTGGACAAGGGTAGTTGTCCGGCGAAAACATCACATCACTGGTCGCATAAACCCAATGAGAGAAGAATGCAATGACACAACTGTAAGAAAAAAATTAAATTAAATGGATGCACGAACAGAATGAACGGATGATGTAGGGAGATGTCACAATGAAAGAAACGTACAAGCGTAACGGTTACCATGTGGCCTTGCAAAGTCCGTACGTACCTGTCCGATTTCTCGTTATCCTTCTTTTTGGGCTGTTTCTCTCGCTTGCCTCGCCTTCCCCGTAGAAACCCTGAGAATATTCAGCATTCAGCGACTTCGAACACGTTTTGGAGGTCCGGCATTGCAGATCTCTGCTGAGTCTGGGTTTACGACTCAAATCCTGAACATGACACACAAGATGACAACAAAGCCCGTGTCTATTTCATGTTCATATGCCAAATGATGTTACTGCACGTAACATACTCATCCTGTTAACTACATGAGCAAATTACTGATGAATATACGAACAATACCGACAGCACTGCAAATATAGCTTAAAACATGAGCACTTAGGCAGCCTGGTCACAAACAATATCACGCACGAGTGTGAGGCACGCAACCGAAGTCGTGCAAACGCCGATTCTCATCGTCTTACTTCACCAAGGAGACGGCACTAGGTGCAACAGTGAGGCCCTGTTAAGCAAAAACACCCGCGACTACAATATAATGCACGCTAGCTACACAGCGATACATAGGTAGAGATGCATGTAAGACATGTGCTGGAAAGTCAAGGAGCATAGAAGAAAAACTTAACAGGCAAAATAAAGTAAATTGTTTTAACCTGAAGTCCAAGAGCTTCCCTGTTGTTGCCACGATGACAAGTCCCCTGAAGCATGCAAGGAAAACTGGTCTGCACAGGCGACGCGTCCACAAAAGCCATGGACGCTGGCATTGGGCAGCACATGGGGCAGAACATGAACACGGTTAAGACATTCCACAAAGGCGACCACGACCGGAAGGCGGAAACAGGGTCCAGGCAAGCAACATCACGTGGGGACGACGCGGCTGAGACGCGTGGTGGTTGCAGTATCAGCCTGCCCCGCCGGCGGTGGCTACAGCATCAGCCTGCCCCGCCGGCGGTGGCTGCAGCATCAGCCTGCCCCGCCGGCGGTGCCTGCAGCACCGGCCTGCCCCGTCGGCGGTGCCTGCAGCATCAGCCTGCCCCGTCGGCGGTGCCTGCAGCATCAGCCTACCCCGCCGGCGGTGCCTGCCCCGCACGCTCGGCACCAGTACATGAGTCATCCAAATCACGGAGCTGACAGGGGCAAGACTGCATAGCAACGTCTTGACACGGACACGTGAATCCAAAGTTCATTTATGTCAAATGCATCCGATCGCGCTGATTGCGGTGGGACCACAAATATTGGCAAACTGCAAGCAGGCGTCCAGCTCCCCCCCCCCCCCTCGCGGCAGAACCCGGGGAAACTTCAACCTGACGAAGACCACTGTTCGCCACACAGAGCTTCCCAGGAGCAAGGCAAAAAAGCGCAAGAGCTATCCCAACAAGATCGTTCTAACCCAGCCCCGTTTTGGGATGTTCCGCCGCCCCTGACCGATTGGGGGGACGGGGGGAGATAGCACACCCCTCATATCATCTCAGGGTCTGATGGTTGGATCAGAGAATATCCAAACGGTTGTCGATGACCTGGCCAATCTCACGCAAGAGTCTTGAACTGACGTGCCACATGTCTGATTATGTCACAGATCTCCCAAAATAGCTCCGGTAGAATATTCCAATGCGCCGAGGGTTCTCGGCAACCGAAATAATGCCCATATAGCTTTGCACCGAACAGCACACGAAACAGCGCGCACCTGCATGCCACAGTCACAAAATAATGAAGCGACTTTAGCAACATGGGACACCTAAGATCATCTTATATAATTTGTAACGGACATCAAACGAACGGACGTGCACTTGTAAGCCGGACGCATTGCAAGACGTTAACAAAGTCCAAAGTCAACGTCAGGTCAACGTCGTTTCATTTCATCAGAGATGATTATGTGCTCTTTCGGGGCACGTCAGGTACAGAAACGACTGGCCTGAAAATGTGTCCATTATGCGGACTTGTTTACCACAACCGGGCACAGCAATCGTCTCCACAGATACGAAGCAGCCTCACATCACCACTGCAGCTTATGATACGACGCACCACCAATACTGTATCGGGCGACTGACCAGCACGAACAGAAAGTACACCCAGTCATTGAACTATCCCAAAACTAAGCAAAACAAGCACGGAGACTGCAGATTCTGCATGTATGGGAAGACGTCATGTGAGACACCCCTGATGCTCAAACACCTCAACTGACTGGCCTGATATGGAAAACGCACTCAGAACGCGCCGAATTTATCATCTGGCAGGCCACGGTGATCGGATGGGCCTACCTGGCACAGTTCGCTCGGAGGAACGGCGGCTTTCAACACTCCACGCGGTCGCGGGGTAAAGGGAATGTTCCACATTTGAATAGATTGAAGCGAGCATCAGACATGATGGAACAAGCTCACTTCGTCCTATTTGTGATATCACCATTGGTATAATCTAAGTGGAAAAGCTGCTGTAGACAGGACAATTTCTCTGTTTAGTAAATATGCTTCTCAGCACGTCATTGCTTAATTACGCCATCGTACCTTGCAAAACACTGAGTGAGAGCCAAATGACAGCCGTTATACCTGTCAGGAACGCCAGATATGAACGACTCGACAATTATATTTGTATTGGCCTTGATCGCGGCATGGCCAATGGAACTGCCGGATTTGAATGGCGTTATTATGGCGCTATAGATGCCTGGATGACCTTGATGTCTCCTCGAAATAGTCTGCACATGTTCTCGGGCGTGTAGCTCAGGAACAAAAAGGGTTTAGGTATTAAGACGGACGGGGCTGTGAACTACACCAAATCATCTCAAAGATGCCTATTTTAGTTAAAACCCCCATACAAGAGTGAAACACTCCATTTAAGTAGTTTAATCCTAGCCTGATACAACAAACGAACAGTTCTGCCAACGCACGCGTACCATACTTAGTTCAATATGCGAGAAACCCAGCGTAAAACCAATAAGTGAGTTCCATGTGGTGCTGTTTTCCGACAATCTCACACACCATGGCAAGGACATTCCGCTCATTAAGACAGCGACGGAAGGTCATGACACTTAAGCCCGCACACGAGACCGATGATGAATGGCATGCTGAAGCCAGCCGGGGGCTGTCCACGGCCGACTGGCGCTCGCAGCCCGGCCGAGCCCCTGCCTCAACCCGCCGCGCAGACAACCACACCCAGGCACCACCACTACCCAGCGGCCGCAGCCGCGTCCCTGCCGCGGCGGACCCGGCGTCCGAGCGTGCGCGGCGGGGCTGGTGCCGCCGTCCAAGCTCGTGCCCTCCGGACCGCCGTCGGAACCCGTATTTACACTTGGAGGCCCTGAGCTGCTGTCCGCGGCCGATGGGCGCGCTGGGCTCGCCGGCGCCGCCGTCCGGGCTGGCGGCCGCCGAGCGGAGCGCAGGGGCGCCGCTGCCGGGCGAGCTGTCGCCGCCGCCACCGGACGCCGCTGTCGGCACACCGCCCGTTATCGAAGCGCCGGCGGGGCGCGGCGCGCCGCTGGCCGCCCGGCAGCTGGGCGGCGTCCGGTGCCGGGCTCCCGGCGGCCGGCGAGAGCAAGACAGCGAGAGAACGAGAGCGATAGACAGAGAGAGGGAGAGAGAGAGGGGAGGCGCTAAGAGAGAGGAGCGGCGGGTCGCAAGCACACTAAATCACATGCTACACGCAATCACCCACGGAGAAATCGCGGCTTGAAGCGGATCAGTCAAACTGGTGAACGTCGACTCTACAACATCGGGCAAGCCATGCTGGGCAGAAAACAGGCAACACCGCGGCGGCGCACTCGTCACTACACGAAGAGGAGTTCCAAGCCGAGTGTGCGAGTCGCTACGTGCCGGTGCCGCGCCTACCTTGCCTGCCGACGGCGACGGTGGCGGTGGCGGCGGCGGCAGCGGTGGAAGCGGCAGCGGCAGTGGAGGCGGCCCGCGCCTCCTCCGGTCCAGCCGAGCCCGTCTCGCTAACAGCGTCCGGCGTCGAGCCGAGCGAGGCGGCGGCCGGCGCCGCGGGCACCTCCTCAAATTCCAGCAGCACTGGCGGAGGCGCATCGGCAATCAGTGCGCGGAGCAGCGCAGCACCGTGCAGAACAGTCGCCCGCAGTCCACCTGGCTACATACGGCCACACAGCCAGACACACAAACGTTCTTTACACATCGTCCCGAGATGGCAAGGTCGAACTAATGTTTAATGACAAAGTCCACATCAAAAGAAGCCGACAGTCCTGCCAAAAGCGGCGCCCACCTGGTTTCTCCAGCCCCGTGTGCTTCGCCAGCGCGAACTCCTCCAGAAGCTTGATCACAGTTTTCTCGTCACATTGCCGACGCAACTCGATGTTAACCTGCGACATGAGGCATGCCGCAGGTTAACATTAAGGGCATGAATGGCGCGGCACGCAGCATAATGTGAAACCTCAGATACCTGCAGGGGCAATCCAAAGGGAATGCTTCACACTTGAAGATATTGGAGCAAGCACCACAAAAGATGAAACAAGCTCACTTAAACTACTGGCAAACTTTCTACGCGGAAGCTACTCTAGACAGCACAATTCTCTGTTTAGTTAATATGGTCATCAATATGCCATGGTCTGATGATGTCGTCGTACCTCGCACAACATTGACACGACACACTTGTAAGAGAATGGACAACCCAGTCAGCGATTATGCCAAGATATGAGACCATAAACCGGTCATGCAACAGTCAAAGCAATGCAAAAAGCTTACTTCTCGTATCTGCCTATGGCTTCCGTCGAATATCTTGACATAGTTGTCCAGGAACTCTTTCATCTGGCACAAATAGTTTTCTTCTAATTCTTGGAAGTGCTGAAATGGCGACCGGACAATATTTTTCCCGTACGCCAGCAAACAACAGAGATGGGGGGGGGGGGGGGGGGGGACTGGCGCCCCACAACAAACATAGTGCTTTTTTGCACAGCCCGCCTTACATCACGGCGCTCCAGCTCTGTGGTCCACGGTGCTGCCGTAATGCCGGTGCCACTCATCTTGAAAGTTCTGATGCTACTGATATTCATCACTGTTATTTTATGCAAACATTGATTACTAATATTGCATGATGGATGCTCATATCTGCAATATTGATGTTCTTTATATTCAAACTGATCTGCGTTCGAGATTATGTGACTAAACAGCGGGGCCCAGCCGTCAAGCCACCGCCTACCCGACACGAGACGACCATCTTGCGCTCGAAGTCGTCGCGCACTAGCCGGTACTTGTCGACGAGGGCGCGGTAGTCGTCGGCCGCCTTGCGCAGTTTGGCCTCGGCCTTGTCGGCGTCGCGGCCGGCCGGCGCCGCCTCCTGCAGTCGGCGCAGCTCGCCGGCCCGCTGCTGGTACAGCTCGCGCGCCTTCAGCACACTGGCCGTCAGCTGCTGTAGCGACTGCACCACCTCCATCGTCGGCGCCTCCTCTTCCTTCACCTGCCAGCGACCGCCAGGCGCGGCGGGGCGTCACGAGCGCCGCCCGGCCCGCCGCGCAGGTGCCCACGACCGGAGGTGTCACGGCAGCGCAGCAATCGATCTGACCGTATACCACACTGTAGTGGGCAACAACAGCAAGCGATGCGAACGGCACTGTGGCACCTGGCCATCCGTGTTTAAGACTTCCACTCCTGCTGGTGCTTCTTCCTGTCCTGTCTGTGTTAAGACTCCAACCCTGGTGCATCTCACTTTCTGACCCTTGTTTAAGACTCCCGTTCCTGCTGGTGCCCCTCCCTTTCGGTCTATGTTGGAGACTCTCGCTCTGGTGCCTGCTCCTGTCCGGTCCGTGTTTAGGACTCCTATCCTAAGCCTCTCCCACTTCAGTTCGTGTTTGAGACTCCCACCCTGGTGCCTCTTCCTGTTCGGTCCAAGTTTAAGACTCTCATCCCTGCTGGTGCCTCTCTCTGACTGGTCATGGTTTAAGAATCAACTGTTGGTGCCTCTCCCTGTTTGGTCCGTTTTCAACACTTCCACGCTGACAGGCACTCTGCTGGTGCCTCTCCCTGCCTGGTCTCCATTTAAGTCTCACCCTGCTGGTGCCTCTCTCTGTCTGGCCTCTATTCAAGAGTCCTATCCCTGCTGGTGCCCCTCCCTGTCCAGTCTCTGCTGAAAATTTCCATCCCTGCTGGGCCTCTGCCTGTCCAGACTTTGTCAGACTTCCACCCCTACCGATGCCTCTCCCCCAATGGTCTGTGGCTGGCGAATCCAACGCTTTGCAACGGAAACTGTAATCAGATATGCGTGACAGACTGCACAAAATGTGTGGCCATCTCCAAACACTTCCACCCCTGCTCACATTACGACTCACCACCTTCAAGTACAGGCTGGCAAGGCAGCAACCGTCTAACTGCGCAAAAGACACCCCAGATAAACAAAATGACAACACGAACATCTGTATATATATACAGCTTCCCGCTGATTGCGGCGCGGCCTCCGACTCCAGCCCGCCCATGGCGGCGCACCAGGCACACGATCTCGCCCAGTACAGCGACTAACCGTCTTCTGACGCTTGTGCAGGTCATCGCTGAACTTCTGCAACTCCTTGAAGAGCTCAGCCAGCCTGTTGACGGCACTCATGTGGATGGAGGAGAGCTTCTCCGAGGAGGAGCGCAGCAGCGTCCAAAGCGGCCCGAACGTGCCGTTAACGCCGGCATTGCTCGCCTTGTGCGCCAGCTTGGCTAGCATCTTGGAGTAACTCTCCTCCAGCATCGCTCTGAAATCGACACCATCAGGTAGCAATCTGACACAATGCTTGGAGATTCTCTCTCTGTTATGAGCATACTATGCAGTCTGAGCAGCCCCCCTCTAGCCTCACCAGACTGGGGACTGGATAGGGAATGGTCTGGCATGGTACAATAATATATTGTGTACTCGCCATGTCACACGGAAACCGGACAATACTAGGGCGGTGCATTCACTCGATACCTCTGCTTCTGAATGTGGCAGTATTTAGGTCTGATGTTCACCATATAATGACTTAAATGACAGAAAAGTCTTATATAAGCATTGAACACATGCAATATTAATGTAATGGGGCCCAGTGAGCATTTGTTTAAAAAGCCATCTTGCGTCTTGTGCGTGTCTATAAGGCTTTGCAAAACTCTGCACCTGAGGCTATATAGCATTGCCTGCCTCTCCCCTTGGTAGAAGGGCAAGCACGAGACCTCTTTAACAACACCTCTTTCTCACCTCTCCTTGAAGAAATCTGCAAGCTCTTTGCTTGCATTTTGTCCATGCTTTGTGTTCTGGTAGAGAACTTCAAAACCGTTATTCTTCTCGCCCTGCCAATGAAAAAGCATGTCAGCATTTCGGAAACATGCTTTAGTAGACGAAACATGATGCGCACAAGAGATGAACACATTTCATATGGTAATTTACATACTTTATCCATGTGTGGGAGGGCTGTCAAGAATTGTGGATGACAGATGGTTCCAGAAATGTATCCAAATTGTGAAATAGTTAACACAAATTTTAAAAATGAACATAAATATATTAGGTGACACATGTTGCTGCAGCAAAGTACTATAGCCCACAGGGCTTAAGGACATGACTGTGTTTTTTTATAAGGTCATGTTTCCCCAGAAAAGTGAAGGATCAGTTGCCCTATTTTTTCTCTTTTTTGAAAGGCTTCAATAACAATTCAGCATCATAATTTCTCATTTAAATGCAAAAATCATCATTTGAAAGCAAACAAATCACTCCAATCACACAACTTATTTGCTGTCAAGCTGCAGGTACATGAGGGGCAGCTATAGGCACGGCAATGCCGCCTCAGTGGCTTGGACATATCTGCAAAATCCGCAACATCTCAGGGAGTTTTAAACATTTTTTGTTGAATCAGTGATCTACAGCCTCGTTTTCAAAGGCTTACAGATTACAGCGTGAAAAACCAGGGCTCCGTAAAGTATTCTGCCACTGTGCCCACCACATCAGTTGTTTCACTGCAAGATTATGCTGTTGACCTGGAATTTCATGGTCAAATGGCATGGGTCAGGGCTCACACAACAAGCACTGCTTGGTGTAAGCTCTGATCCCAGAACTTTGTCTATTCAAATGATTGATTAAATATTTCAAACAAACATAGCTTACCTACAGGATATTCATACTTACCCAAAAATAGTCACAGAAATCTACAGTCATTGTTGGTGTTCACACAGCACATGAGTTAAGATGTTTCATAACATGCGGCCAACTCATACACAACCATCTTCAAGCTTGACTGTTAACAGCTTCACATGTATATCTGAAATCATCAGAAAAAAAATGTTTAAACACCTGAAATATTGCACAACAGCTTTTTACCAATCAAGGTGTCAATATTTCACACACACACATAAAGGTGGGGTCATCCTGGTAGCATACTGGGTCAACCATCAACCTACTTCCAATGAAAGGGACACCCAAAATTGGCTTGTAGCTTACAAGTCATCAATACATGGGTTTTATTGTCTCCAATGATCCCTGATAAACAGGAGACGGAACTGTCATCCCGGCAGCCACACTATGGGGCTTCACAGAACACTTCAATCTCCTGAAAAAATACCCTACACCATAGCAAAGTTCAGACCATTCAGGTGGTCAAGCATATACACTATGTGTTCTCCAAGACCTGCAGGCGTCCTACAAATTGCTGTCAGTGACAATAAATCACCCTGTAGAAAGTCCATCAACTGTGCCAGAAGCTTGGGTATCATGGGACTTGTGCAAACTACAATGGTATGTTCAACCTCAACCTCACATGTGCCAAACTCAGCCCAGGACACAATGTGCAGGATTTTTTAATTACTTCAGCACAAAAGTGTTTTGGGATAATTTTATGCAAAATATTCTCATCTTCCTCATCCCTTGAAACATTGGCTCCCCATATGGTGAAACTTCCAGTACCCTGCGCCAAAGTACCAGCCTTGAAGTGTACAGTCTGCTGAAATTCATGATGTATGCGTATGAGCATCAGCTGAAATTTGGGCCATATCATGCTACCCCCATGCTAGACACAAAACCAGAAATGGTGATTTGTCAAATATTAAACTTTAGCCTTACTTTGCAAAAATATAAAAACACCTTTGGGTATACTAAGAATGATTTATTCAAAACTGCCATATCCAATTCCTCCAAACATTTTTTTCACTGTGCACTGAAATTAGTGAAGCATACTGCTGAGCCCTATTTAGGTGTTTTGAGCATATCTGCTCTGAATTATTTATTCAATATTGCCAAACCAGACATTCCCAGCAACAGCAACATGTAACTTTTACATTCTTGAAATGAAGGCCAGTAAAGCAAAACATCAATAAACTATTTCTTAACCATGTGGCCAATCCTCAAAAATCCATTGATAGCACCAGATACCTAGAAGACATCCACAGTCTGAAACTCACAACTGCATGTAACAAGCTCAGAACAGGCCAGAAGAGATTTATTTTTCAAGCTGTTTACTGGAGATATTGTTAGCATATTTGGCTGATGTCCCTGTGTAGCAGGCTAATTCCTTGAAACATCACCTTTCTGTGATCTGGAGTTGGCTGCAACTGAGAGCTAAAATCTGAGTACTCAGAATTATCTTAACATGGTAGCTGTCATGTTGCTGCCATGCCCAGCACATTAGATTTACACCCATTTCCTACAGATTCACTGCTGGAAAGTCAAAGTTGTGTTTACCACAATCATTTTTACTTTTACATACTAAATATCAGGTGATGGTGGCACACAATATATATTTTAATATTAATGGTTCTATACAACCGGTTCTTAATGGGTTAAGCACAGATAAGCAGAAAATCATGACAGGAATGCAGTGCAGCAGTCGATGATTTGGCCTCTGGTATCCAGCATGTGTCAACCAAGGTATTCCTTCCGTATTTCCATACAACTAGGCATTGGTTTCCAGTTCGAGCGAGAATCAAGCATAGCATGACGGCGACGTGGTAAGACCTCATGCATCACGTCACATTAATGGTTAATACATTCTGCGCAAGTCCCAACATGACCAAAAATGTGACTGTGTGTGGCACGAGACCGTCGCAGTCATTCCCAAGGCAGCTAACTCTGTTACTAATAGCGCTACTAACTCAACAGGAATCAGTCGCGTTCTCCTGACAGCGAACCTGCGGCCCCTCCCCTTTTTAACCTGCTTGTCTAGCGCCGATCCATCCCCAACACGATCGCGTACCAATAACGCCCCACACCGAGCAAATTAACCTACACCAAGGCCATATGAGAGGGGTAAAAACGTTCGGTGCTTCTCGCTTCATCTTCGCTTAACGCTAAAATGACGTCACTGGCTCAAGAGCTTCGACGCGCGGCGGGTCGTGATGCGAGGCGCCCGGTGCGATGCTGAGAGGCAGTTGAAGCCACCTCTGTGCTCGATAAATTTTTGTAACTGGGTCAGGATCAGCTCACAGATTTAAGCGTCCGATCCAGATCATGACTCATAGCCGTTCCAATTTTGTGTAGCTCAGTTCAGATTCATCGCTTGCATTGAATCATTTGGCTCACAACTCAAGCGATTTGCAAGATTTAATATCCGGTTCAGAGAGAGAGAGAGAGAGAGAGAGAGAGAGAGAGAGGAGAGAGATGAGAGAGAGAGAGGAGAGGGAGAGGGAGAGGGAGAGAGAGAGAGAGGAGAGAGAGAGAAGAGAGAGATGATATTTATATATATATATATATATATATATATATATATATATATATATATATATATATATATATATGCATTGTCATGTCC